CTGGGTTAAGATTGCCTATTTTAATGGGATTTACGATTTCAGTAGTACGAGTATTTGAACATCAATTTTCGAGGTTTGATGGGATGCTAACTATCATATACTATATCAGAATATAATTGACATAATTATGGCTGCATTTGAGATGACATCGCAAAATTGCAAACTATCAATTCAATTGTTGTCATACCAAATTAGCATGCAAAAAAGTCAACTATTTAACATGATTAAACTATGATTGACCTATTCAACGATGTTAAGCTGAATGCTGTATAGTTTTTTTTTGGTCATATATGTATTATAATTAATTATAATGCATGTATATGTATATATAATTATATATATATATATATACATACATATGTATAAGTATAAATATGACATGCATCACCTCCCGGCACCGTTTCAAGTTGCCAAGACGTCCAGCCGCTGGCCGAGTCTGCCAGGCCCTCAGGGTAAAGTGCCAGAAACTCTGCGGCTTCGGCCAGGGCGCCGAAGGTATATTTTTCCTCACAGTGAAGTGCCATGGATTTTTTGGAGCTAAGTGCCAATCCATGATTCCATGTTTTTTGGATATTGTTTTTTAGCTAAGTACCATGATTCCATGTTTGTTCGAGTTTTTTTGAGCTAAGTGCCATGATTCCATGGTTTTGTTGAGCTAAGTGCCATGATTATGGTTCCATAGTTTTTGATCTAAGTGCCAAGTGCCATGAATTTCTGGCGAAGTGGAACATGCTTCTGAGGATGCAAAAAAAAAACGTAGACGTAAAGGTGGAATGCCTTCGACTCGGAGACCCTGCAAAACCTCTATTAAATGGGATATTCCTACACCCAGAAACTGCCAAGAATAAAGACGAACCAACCCCTCGACTACCTGCACTGCAACCCAGACACGTGATAGTCGATGGCATGCCCACCCCAGCCATGAAAAACTATCACCTACACAGAAGCTGCGCGACTCAATGAAACACATTGAAATACCAATCAAGGGCAATCCAAAAACATCAAATTTGGTAATTAATACAGTTTGATCCGTCATGTCCTTTGGACAAAGCGTTGAAGCGAAACCAACAAGAAATCTATATATATATATATACCGGAGATTCTGCTGTTGTTGTGGCAAGCTATCGCTAGAACCAGCAGCGAACTATTATTCACTAGGAGTGGAGCCGCCGAGAGTATCCACAGCCGTGTTCGGCCCTTGTAAACTCACATCTCAGCAACATCTTTCCCAAGCCGTCTTTCCGCCAGAGCCAAGAAAAGTGGTTTGTGCAACAAGACATGGCCAATCTTAAAGTCTTGGCTGGCTAGTAAAGTATACATACACATTCATTATGTCATATTATATATATATATTATGTCATAATATATCATATGTCACACATGCAATTATATATTATTCCCAGTATCCCTGGAAATTACTAGCCATCCCAGCTTGACCCTCTACCCTCTTGTGCTGATCAGTGACCACCGGCAATGGCTTTCCATCTTGCGCTCCGCTGGGCACATAGCTCAAGACGCTCCGGTTCACCGCCGGTAAGCCCGGCCTCGGTGGCTTGGGGTGGGCTTCGGGCCCAGAAATGCAATTTTGAATGAGCAAATGAATCGAATACACAGTGAATTGGGGCATACTGAATTTTCAGACAAAGCCATGCTAATTATAATATATTATAATATACCTCTATATATATATACCATTCGGTCTCCATAAGAAAGTGGTGCTAGGCTTCGATCCAAGTACCAGCTATCTGCAGTGATCCTCCAGAAAAGATAGAAATTCTGATCACCAAAAAGAAGAGAAAGAAATGAAGTTGCTCCATTCGGCAGGTTCAACACCCCGACGTAAAACCAAAGAAAAGGATGATGAGTACGAAGCCATGGCAAGGAAATATGCATTGAACAAACATCAACAATACGCATTTTTACGCCTTCCAAAGTTTGCCCCTTTCAAGGGAACAAAAAAGGTTCCGGCAGAGAAGCCTGACATTGGACGTCCAAATTCTCGAAGAGCAAGTCTTACAGCTGGCGGGGAAAGTCGCATTGTGAAGTCAAGCAAGACCAACACAACAAAATGTTCCAAGTTCTGGCTCGAAAACAGGTCAAGGGCATCAAGCGAGGTCAAATGAAGCCAAAAAACACAGCGTTCATTTTTCCGAGCGGAGGCTTCTGCTCCAATCGCATCTGGCCTACTGAGCGTGAAGAGCGCTGTGCAGAAAAACTGCCTTCAGAGCACAGGGACAAGTAGCAGTGTCAAAATGTTCAAACGTACTTTGTGCAAGCATAGTCGGTTTCTGTCCAACCAAGACAAGTGTGAGTCCTGCTCATGCCAGACAGGGCCCTAGAGCCTGACGAGGCGCCAGCCCACTGCCCCCAAAGTGAGCAAATGCTAAAATACAGGCAACACCTATCGACCTTTCGAAGTTTTCTGAAACCCTGTGAGTCAGTCCCCCAAGTCCCCCAGGTCCCCTCAAAATATTTGTCAGTCATAGTCTGAAAGACGCACTCGTACTCGGGTTCCGTAGGAGTCGAATTTCCACGGCGGTAGCATATGTTCTGATCCAGCCATGTCTGCCAAATCAGCTCTTCCGGATTGTCTTTAAGCACGCACCAGCAAACAAAATAATCGTCTGCAACGATTCCTCGTTTGCAGTTTCCACCATGGTGTTCAAAGCCAGCCTGTGCGCACTGGTACGAACACTCTGACTGAAGTACATGCTCGCTTGGTGAAAGCTGCCGAAGTTGAGGGACATCATCCGGCTGTGGGACTTGCTCGGGTGGTGTTGCACGCTCTCGCATTTGCGGAAGGCTATCGCAGCCACTGAGCATCAGCACAAAAGGCTGCAACAGCAGCACGAAGATGGCATGGTTTGAGAACATAGTGTGAGCGTCGCTCTCGAGCCCAGAGACTCAAATCAATGACTGCAAGGACAACAATAATATCTACTACCGCAAAACGACACAAGGTTCAACCCATTCGAACGCTGCAAAAGGAGTTTCCAGAAGGGTATGTTCAAAAGCAGCAAATGTAATCCCATTCGGGCCGCAACAGGTCAGGCGCACCAAATGCAGATGAGGCAAAGGCCGCGGAGCAGCGGAGAGCGACCGACAAACAGCGGCCAGTTGAACAAAAACTAAAACATAATAATATATTAATGTCCCAAAAAGTCACCTACAACAAACCACACCAAACTCTCAAACAAACTGCTTCATCAACACCAAGGAACAAGGGTTGAACACCAACATAGAAGCCACAATAGCCCCGACAAATGACCACCTCTTGGACTAGTAGTGACTAGCGAATTTCACGGCGAAAGTTTTGTCAAAATTTACCTTGAACACCCCCGCACGAAAAAAGGCAAAGGCACATGAACAAAAAAAAAGCGATGCCAACAGAATGGAAACAATATCTCCAAGTCAACAAATACAAAGAAGAAACAAGACAAGGAGAACCTACCGTAACAGAAAAGGAGAAAGATCGCATAAAACACAACAAGCAATAGAATACATCAATGATGTTTTCCCTTCATATCAAGAATACCAAACTCAACACACAGGAAAAACCGAACGACACCTAAACAATTATCCACCCGCATTCAATCCAAATATCGGAGTGAAAGTTAGGGACAAGAATGTCCTAAACGCCCCCACACACATACAAAAAAAAAACATCAACGGCAAGGAACACACATTGAACAAGAACATAGCAACCATAACAACCAACAATGAATGCTGGGATGTCCTAGCATCCCCCTTTTCCCATTTGTTCCCCAGTATTTCACGTATATCCTGAGAATATCTTCATTGTATACACCGATTATACCACCAGTTTTATTGGTTACATTAGCGTGTTTGTTGGTTAAATCACAATTTGTATATTGATTTCATCACCATATTTGTTGGTGATTTTCTTAGTCATTCCTCAACCCCAGAGAGGCAAGTGGCTCCTGCCACAGCAGTGTCTCATTCCGCAGCTTCCCCTTCAGCTGCCTTTGGGAAAGGCCACAGCCAGCGCTGGACACAGGGACGGCCATGGCCAAGCCTTGAAATGAGTTGAAACATATCGAAACTCTGATCCTTTTTCAGGCAGGTGGGGTACAACACCGGCATCATCGGAAGTAGTTTCCATTCTGGGCTTTGCAACACCGATTACAGCCAATGACAAATGACTGGGACTGGGCCAGACTGAGCTGCTTCTTTCGGACCCCATGAGCTAAACAGTACCCTGAAACTTGTTCAACCCCAAAATTTGGGGTTCCAGATGGTTCCAGCTTTGTTTTCAGTGGCTTCATGAAGGCTTCAGGATGCCAATGCCATGAGCCAAAAAGCTGTGGAAACGATCAGTTGGATCATCATTCCCCAGCTGCCAACGATGTACTCAGCTTCAGGTCATCATAAAAATCATGGCATTTTGTTAAAACTTTTGCCAGTGAATGTGTGCAAAATACATTCACATACATATAATTATGGTCCCATTTCTGGCAAGCGATTATATAAAGTACCCTATGGTTATGTAACATAGGCATGGAAAATGGCCCATTTATAGATGATTTACCTGTACCTATTAAAAATGGTGATTTTCCATGGCAATGTTAAATAACCAGATGGTATACTAAAATATTGAAGTACTTAAACTACCCATCCATCGTTTCCCCAGTGACTCAGTGTCCTGTTGGCCTACCTCGTGCAGGCCAAGAGTCGTGTTGGCTGATGGTTTTACAGGCTTTGTTCATCCAAAATGGGGCATAGCAACCCCCCCGGTCAACAAAAAAACAAAAATCCTACCAGAATATAGCGGTAAGCTTACTTTTTCAGTCTTTTAGACGGTTGCTATACCCCAACGTCTCCCCAAATCCACATATTCCCCTTAAATCATCCGTTTCCATGCAACTATTCTGAAAATTGCTAGAATCTGGGGGTATACCGGGTATACTCGACATCCGCAGACCTGATTTGTCAAACACATCGAGTTTTAATGGCTGATCACTTCATCGCAACATGCCCACCTTAATGGCAAAGTCCTTTCCGGTCGATCGACCTTTCGCTTCATACACGCCGCCAAACAAGGCACCTGGCCATGGGTTGATTCTGAGCGCAAGGACTGCAGAACACGAGGTGGCGGTTTTATCTCAAAAAATTCCTCAATACGAACTTCGATCTTTATGAGGATTTTTGGGGTTTGCTGTAAGTCTATATCTTCTGTAGCTGGCACTTCCCAAACTGCGCTGATTCAAAGATATGGTCTCTCATGTGTTCAACGGGTTCAGAACTTGAAACTTTTGGAAATTTCAAATAACATGAACACCCAACTAGAATATTCCAAACATCTTCAAAGCAATCGTTCTTTACTTTTTCTGGGTTCCGCTAGCTTTGGAGGCAAACAAAAATCATCCAACGTGGCTGAGGGTCTTTGGAGGTGCATCACGAGTTGATACTCCTGGGCCATTGGACTACCAGGCGCCCTACCACACATGCCTAGGGGTCGTGTGACTGCCCACTTGTGGTAGTTCATTGGAATTTCATGGCCTCGTTGATATATATATATATATACACACCCATTTAGGGGATGGTTCATATCACCCATACCATAAACATGGTGATGACTTGGGGATGGTTTGTGGCATTGGGTGCACATCACATTATGGTGTTTATACCCATGGTCAAAGCCCTAATATGTGGTTTATAAATTTATGGATGTAGTTCTATGCTACATTAATCTACATTATTTTAATTGTTACCATTATGATCATTATTGTTATTATCATTATTACATGTTCTACTATATGTGTATTATTGTTGCTATACCCATCAAATGATGGAACGTTGAATCCAAGTGGTGCTGAGACATGCTGAGACCTAAGATATCTGGTGGCAAAGGCCCAAAGTCTCCTCCAGGTTGCCCTTGATGTTGGGGCCCACCACCTGGACGAACGAATTAGTGAATTGTTATTTTTTGGCTAGTACAAACTTGTAACATCTTACAACTATAGCTCTATTAACTTGCATTGGTTACCATTGGCTATCCATATGTTTAGTATTGTTAATCAATCTGTTCTTTTCAACCAGCCACCATGCAATGAATGAAGCTGCCAAAACACACATGGAACCCCAACACTTTGGGCACCAGAAAGTTCGGGGGCACGATTCCGAAGGCTAAACTAGCTTCAGCCATACCGTGATCGTGCCAAAATGCAACGATGTGGTGGCAGCAAAAAGCTTTCCAACCCGTTGGTTTTGAAGTTTTGAACAGAGATCCTCATTGTAACTAATCCCACCCCTGTACTGTAATCCAATACCAAATCTCTAGTAAAATATATCATATTACGGAGAGGGATTGTCAAGACCTTGGGTAAACTCGTGTCACCCTTTCTTGCATCCTCTTGACATCCCCAATGTTAAAGATCTGAAAAACCTGGTGCCAAAGTATGCAACATCCCAACCTCTCCAAAATCATACGTGTTCCCCGCCAAAAAATGGTCTCGGCTTCTAAGCTTCCACTTCCACGGGTCAGGGAAGGGAGCCTTTGTCGAAGAGCCATTGGTGGGAGATTGGCCCCCTGACTTCTTGGACGCCTCCAGAAGTAGCGAAGATGGCGGTGGAACTGAAGCTCATGGGGTTTCATTTGCAATGGACTGATTATATAAACGGAAATCAGATCACCAAAATAATGTTGGATTATTTTGCCTGAGCTTTTGCCACCTCCGACTTGTGGAAGTTTTTTTTGGGGGGGGTTGCTGTTGATCTTTAGCTGTTTTTGTTTGGGTGAAGTCATCTACATTTGATGGCCAACTCACACTAACTGACTTAGCAAACTTATCGTTTTCTTTTTTTGCTACATGCAAGCCCTTCGTCACGAAAAGCTGATCCATTAAGAGCTCCAATACACAATTGTGAGTCATGAGGACATCAAGGGTCCACGACCTATCCCAATTTTTGCAAGACTTCTATGACACAGAAACTTCGAGCCCAGTGGGTTTCGCTCCCCTGGCTTCATTGCTGAAGTCTCATGACAACATTTGAGTATTTTGAGAAATTTCAATCCAAAATCCCAATTCTTCATGGTTAAATCATGGTTAAGTCATGGTTAAGTCATGGTTAAATCATGCTAAATCCCATTTTCGGTGTCAACCTCCATCAACCTCCACAAGTCCAAAAATCTTGGTGGCTTCCGCCTTCCCGGTGGCCATGTTTGCCCGGTGGCTGTGGCGGCTTCGTTGCTTCGGTTCACGCGTTTTGGTGTTGTTCTTGCGCCAATCACTTGGAGATTTCTGAGGCTTCTGTGATGGTTGTTCGTGGCATCAACATACACCCTAAAACGATGTAAAACGATGTAAAAAACAATAAGTTTCCAAATGGTCCAAAAGCTGGGGTTGGGTTCAACCACTGGAAGCTTGGGCATCGTATTTTTAAACAATCCCCATGAATTTACATCTGGTCAGTGTCACTGATCATGGCGCTCTGAGCTGGAAATGTTGACCAGGCGAGCCATCGGTGTCGAAGGGATCTACTCTCCCGAAACACGGTGGGATATGGAGAGCCATGGAAGTTTCTGGCACCCTCTGGTAAACTAACATAGGTATTGAAAATTGCCATTTATAGTGGATTTACCCACTAAAAATGGTGATTTTCAACAGCTATGTTAGTTTACCAGAGGGTAGCCGTTGGTCATCACTCAATGGACATCTGGATTGAAATCATGATTCCATCACCAATGGCACCGCTCGACCAAATTGAATACCACTTGATGAACGAATGTCACCGGTCCATCTCCGGTTCAATGGATTTGTTGAAGGGAAAATCTACAGCAAACCCATGGTGTTTGACCAGCCAAATATGGGGGGTCCGGGGTTGCCGGGTTGCCGCCTTGACCACGCGACGCCAAAGGGAAAGCCGTTTTCAGACGCCAAAGTCGCAGGATGATCCAACTTGAGATATCGCATTAAACACATCACTTTTTACCATCAAGGAATGGCATGGAATGCCATGGATTAGCACATCTTCCCGGTAATATACACCAGATATTTTCTAGTGCACCTTTTTTGTTGGGTACTTCGAAGCCATCTCATCCCTTCGAAGCACCGGGGGTTGTGCGTCACACTGCGTCGGATCATCGCAGAGACATCCTGAGTTGCCCGTGCTTCTTCGCTGGGACTCAGGCACGAAGAGCCACTGAATGATTGTGGAGGATCTGGAACGCAAAGCATCCTGCGGAGTTCGTATCGGTGATGTGAACCCAGCCTGGATCTAAGCTATTCTAAGCTACCCTCTGGTAATTTCACCTATATGGAAAATGGATGACAATGGCACAACTAAAGATGATTTACCTATAAACACTCGTGATTGCCCATACCTATGTTGTATGTTGTGTTACAAGAGAGTATTTCCAAACATTATCCTGATCAGCTACATGATTGTATCTTTCCCTGATGCTTTTCTCCGCTAGCCCCTGACTATTTCTGACGTCAAAGCTCCACAATCGACAGAGTGGCAGCATAGAGGATTCAAGAAGGGAACAAGAGTTTCAACTGGGTATGGGCCATGGGTCACTCTGCCCCCCAGTACATGCTGCAACCTTTGGCACCATGACCCATGTGAGTCCGTGCGGAGCTTGGAAGTACATCGGTCGGTGTGCGAAAAAAACAGCGGTCGGTGGCTCTACTCCTTCTCCTTCATATTGAATTCCACCATATTGAGCCATATTGCCCCCCTGCATGCATAGATCATAGATCCAATACTAAAAACAACGAATTCTGTGATCTCAGAGGGTTAGTCAAACCAACAACTAGCTAGGTTTGCATTGAAGGATTGACCTCACTAATCTCACTATAGAGACATACATATACACACAGAGTAGAAACACTTACAGTAGACAGTGACCAGAAATCATCCGCCTTCTTGGGCCACCTCCTGGGGCAAAGCCATCATCTTTGTTGGCGGAATCGCCGTAGTTCCAAGATCCATGTCATGAGCTCTCCATAAGTATGTATATGATATATATATATACACATATAAATATGCATATATACATATATATATATATATTAATCCATATTTAAAAAAACAAAAAAACATGAAAGTCCCGGGTAGATTCCGGCTGAAGTCCATATCCCAAACCCAAGTAACCACCCACAATGGGAAACGCTTGGAAGAATCACTTGAAGCAGGGAAAATAAATTCAACATAATTCAAGTTCAAAACCACCAACTGACTGCTGTTCATGACTATTCCAGCATGGCTGTAGAATTTCACAAGTTGATTGCAAAGGCCAGATATCGGAGAGCATCGTAATATATTATATTGCAATACAATCGACCGAGTCTCACTTTGCTTCCTCTCCTGCTAGACAACGGCAATGCATCAAAGTGGCTTGCCGAGTACGACGCGACCAGAGGGTCAGCTCGAGGAAATCATGCAGAATGCAAAAGAGACAGAAGCAAAACATTCAGTACTTGCTGGCATTTTCTATGATAAGCATTGATAAGCTATTTCCAGTGTCCATTACTTGCAGATTATTTGGGCGGACATGGTAGTGGGAATTCCAATGTGGCACCGCCCATCGGTTGGACTATAGCCCCACCTGAATTTCTGCCAATATCTGCCGTCAACCCTAGTTAGCCTGTAGTACAAAAAAAAACAATTTACCTTCTGGTAATGTAACATGGCCCGTTTTTTTTATTACAGTACCCACCTATCGAAAACGATGCGAATTTCCAGCTAACTGTTTTTACCAGGGCCAAAGGGTAACTATGGAGCACCACATATCATAGCAGCCCGCCAAAAGGATCGAAAAGTGAACAAGTGAACCTGATTCATAAAATCTATATTGATTTATCAGTATTCAAATTCAAAAAAAAGGATTTATGAATGGGATTTATCATCACTTTCCGTTTTAAGGAGCTATGGTCCCCCCTGTTTTGTGGCCGTGGCCTTTTTTCGACCATCCAACCGGGGCCAGTCAAATTCGGAGATCCACCGCCACCAAGTGCCAATCATCGTGGCAAACATCGTGGCAAAGCATGGTAAACCCAATAAAGTTACCTAGTTAACTGATATTTAAGATGAGTTTTGGGGATGGGATTGGCAGTTGAAGTCATCCCCAAATCGTAGCTCTACAATTGGCTTGGCTACACTATGCTACACTAGTCCAATTGGTTTCATCAGTAAAGGACGGATGAATAAAAAAAACATTGAGACAAGAAGCAGCTTTGAAAACAGCAGCCCGAAATGGTGTGTTTTTTTGTTGGTCCTACTTTCCACTCAACAAACCATCTGAAATCCCAAAGCCCGGCGGTGGATTGCGAGCATCGCGCATCATCGCGCGGTCTCCGTGTCAGGGCTCGACATTGCTCACCACTCGGCAAAACCTACGGTTTTCACCCCCAGGACCCAGGAGTCCTCCCCGACACAACGGTTTTACCACCACAGAATTCAATGAGGGACCAAGGCAAAAACAAGAACTGGTTAGTGGTATACTTACCCCTCTGAAAAATATGAAAGTCACTTGGGATTATTATTCCCAATATATGGGAAAATCAATTTCATGTTCCAAACCAACCAGAGAACATCCAAAAAACTCATGTCATTCCGAGTCATTCCCAAATCATCTTCCCATGCTGTGGGGTGAAGTGCTCTGCTGCTGTCAACCTGCTTGGCGTCTGTAACGGCAGACCATGGCATGTTCGTAAGCACAGCAACTGGAACATGTCTCAAGGATCGAAGCCGCCAAAAAGATCAAAACAACTGACTATACCCACGGTATTCAACAATGGCTGGCTGGAAAAATCGCATATACATGGAGGTTAAAATGTGAAAATCGTCTCCAAATGGTGGATTTTCCATTGCCATGTTTGGTTACCGGAGGGTAGGTGATGTTGGCCCTTGTCAACACATAAATGATTGGTTAGTTCCAATGAAACCCATTGGAGGGAACCATAATGACAACTTGTGTGGTTGGTGTTTCACTTCTTGATGTATTGGGGATCCATATTTGGAAGGATGAGTCAATTGAATTCAATTGAGGCATATTGAGGCTACTTAGCCAGGCCTTCCAACTATTTTTTCCACAATTTTCAGAAGTGAAACACTAACCAAACAAGTACAGTACAGCGATGGTGTGGCACCCTGCCCAGCCATGGAATGTCCACCGGTTAGGAATCCAAACCACACAACTAAACCACCAGTTCAGCACCAGTTCAGCACTAGTTCATAGTTCATCTACATTTGAGAGCTTACCTAAACTTTAACTAGCAGGTCATCTAAAGCAAGGTAATTTCCATCAAAACCTATGCGCCCGACCCAAAGTTGGGGCCTCTTGGAAGTCCTTTGTTCTCACCCTATTCTGGCAGCCATGATGCTGTTCAATGAAGGCAGCCATGCCCAAGAACGCAGCGGAGTAGAGTGCCACTGAAATCACCGTGGCTAGCACTTTTGTATGTAAAGCCTTCATGACTTTCAAGTAGATCCTGACCACCGGTGCTGTTTGTCTCCATGTTGATCGAATTCTGAGAGAAAAATGCCGAACCCGGAAGATGAAACAAAAAAAAAACTTGTTGCATGTGCCCTTTGGCAAACTAACATAGCTATTGAAAATGGCCCGTAGTTTAATTATATATATATACCTAAAAATTAATGATGTTCGATACTTATGTTAGTTTTCCCCGTGGGTAGCCCCTCATCTTCCACAATGCAGCAGTCCAAAACGTGCCAGAACCTGCAACTCCCAAAAATGTATCATCAGCACCTCTCCACATCTAATCCATCATACCTTCCAAAAAAGTGAATGATAGATCCAAAGTCAAAGCCATACCGCACAAAGAAAACACAAGGCAATCGATAAATAAAACAATCAATGAATAATTTACATAACCCCTGTCTCTCTCTCTCTCTCTCTCTCTCTCCCTACATACAAATATATAGCTCCATATGAGGGAAAATGTCAATTATACATGCAGATGTGGCACGGTCAATAATAAACCATCCCCAAAATTACCAGAAATGGGGTGGTATAGACAAGTCTGAATAAAGGATCCAAAATTTGGATGAGTGCGGCGTTTCTTGTTGGGTTGACCCCATTAATTTCGCTTAAGAAACAAATGATTCCCATGATCATTCGTGTCTCTGTCAAAACGGGATGCCCCAAACTTGAGGGTTGATCATTAGTTTCCTATAGTTTCCCTATGACATAAGTGCCATGAATTGGGTGTCCCCGACTCCCCAATTTTCCGTTGCTCCTATTCCTTGGTCCATTCATCGCACATATAAGATATTCCCAAACATGGGCCAGGTTCAAAATCCGATGTCGTTCCTTTAGACTTCCTTGTTACTAGGGATTCAGGGATTCCTTTAATGGATTATGACAATCCCCAATATATAATATATTGGATAGTATAACCCCATACGATCATCAATCAACAAGGGTTTTCTGCTTGTTTAACATAGCTATGGAAAATGGCCTGCTATATAGATGTTGTATGATGATCTTCGTAAAACGAGTGATTTTTCCATAGCAAACCGGTTGAATCACCAAAGGGTAAATCCCAGAAAATCCTAAACCTCCATTCAATCCCCATTAAATCCCCCATTTATTGATGGTTACCCTCCAGTAAATTAACATAGACCCTGCCAGATAGGGGTTGGAAGATTAGTTTCCATTAATAAAATGGGCTATTTTCAGGGTCTATGTTTATGTACCAGAGGGTAAAACATGTTGATATGCTTTTCCCAGATCCAGATTCCCCAGCCCAACAGCATCCTCAGTGGCCAAATGAGGCAGATCAGCGTTCCAAAGCAGGCGCCAAAGAGTCCGATGACATCCGCGAAGGCGTCGCAGTAGATGGACACCGCGGCACAAAAGACCAACACAAAACCTGGAGAAAAACCCGTTTTACAAAAAAGGGGGGGAGAGAAAACCTGGAGAAACAAAAATGGAACAAAACCATACAAAACCTGGAAAACCACCAACATTGAGAATCTTTTACCCTCTGGTAATTTAACATAGCTATTGAAAATGACCATTTATAGTGAGTTTTCCCATGAAAAAAGGTGATTTTCCATAGCTACGTTAAATTACCAGAGGGTAATCTTTATCAATCTTTATCCCATGATTTCATGGGAATTCATAGGCGTTTAGACGATGAATATGGGTGAATCATCAGGATTTCACAAAAAAAAAAACTGGGCATGTCCTGGGAATCAAACATGGCTGGAAAATCCCCGTGGCCTAAATGGAGGACTTAATGGGATAAATCAATATAATTAAATCATCTATACCCTCTGGTTATTTAACATAGCCATGGAAAATGGCCCATTTATAGATGGTTTACCTATTAAAAATGGTGATTTTCCATGGCTATGTAAAATAACCAGATGGTAAATCATCTATAAATGGTAGATTTTCCATTGCCATGTAAATGGGAAAATCGTCGACGCCGGATCTTCCATTGCCATGTCTTGCCATGTCGGCTATCCACATGGGAACCTGCAACTCTCGGATTTCAGAATATGTATTAAACCTGTATAAGAACACGTCATTTTTATAGTGGAGCTTTCAATGATGTCCTTCCTTGTGGTTTCCAGAACTTTCCCAACTCTTGGACTTGGTAAGCTGGGCCCCAGCCAGGAATTCTTCCAGCTATCTTTTGTGCTTCAATGCTTATTTCTATGGGGAAGTTATGAAGGGATGATATGTCACATGATGGGCCTGTCACGAGTATATTCTATTTGGAAACCTGCGTTTGCACTTTTACTATCGCCATGGCTGGAGTGTGGCAATGATGCTTCTTTTGAGTGAAATGTTCCCTGGTTGATCATGTGGCATTTATTTCCAGTCTTCAACATCGCTTCTCTATATAAATTGGTCATTCAATGGGGTTTAGGGTTTATTCCTCTAAATTAATCAAGCTACCTGAAAAAGTCTTGAGGCAAAACAAGGTTCCATGGGTCAAATGAAGGGATGATTCATCATCAGCCAATCTTTGTGGGACACCTTGAAATGAAATCCACAGTGACCGGGGTTAGTTGAGGAACTCCTGAAGAGCCAGAACAATGTACCTAATAGCAACGGATTTGAACCAGTACACAAAAATAATACCCTCTGGTAATTTAACGTAACTATGGAAAATCAGCATTTATAGTGAAATTTCCCATGAAAAATGGTGATTTTCCATAGTTACGTTAAATTACCAGAGGGTACAACCCACTTAGTTTCTAGGTTTTTTTTGGAACAGACTGAAACAGGTTTACCAGCCACATCTCTGCGTGTTCTGCATCACTTCAATTCTATACTTCTGGGGTATCCACGAAGAACTACCTCCCTATGCTTGGAAGAAATGTGCTTGGGGGAAGGCTGATATACCCCCAGTTACCGAGTGGCAAACCAACATATCCAACTCTTGGACTATGAACAGCGTGCCAGGGCCTGCTGCAATAGGTACATGCAATAGGTACAATGTAGTGGTGTTCCTATTTCCAGATATATATATATATAATTATATATATATACATCTCCTATGTCCTATGCCCTCTTCGATGCTCAGTCAATGTTCCCCCCCGGGTCTACTGCCCCGCTGCGACTATCTTGGCCATGCCACTGACGATGCACACGCGCTGGCAGCAAGACTGCACGGATTCTGCGGAGGGGTTGGAGGGGTCGCTGCGTTGACGACGGAAACTCGAGAACTTTTCCATCAAATGACCGGTCAAAGCCTGATGCGGTCAGTGCCGAGTTCGTCGGTTTTATCATCCAAAATATCCGAATGAAGCGCAATCTTACAGGAACGGACCCTCAAACGGGGTCCGGTAAGTTGGCTTATAGCTAGACCAACTAGGATTTCTTGTGGAGATTGATCTACAGTTTGGAAATAACAACCGGTTTTCTATGGATTTGGAGATTGATCTATAGTGGATCATTTGGTTATATCATGGACTATGAATCATGGTCAACCTTTGATAGCCCACGACAATCATAATCTTTTGCTGGTTATGGTTATTCGAAAATGTTACACACACACACACACATATATATATATATATATTATATACCCTCTGGTAAACTAACATAGCTATTGAAAATGGCCATTTATAGTGGATTTACCCATTAAAAATGGTGATTTTCCATAGCTATGTTAAATTACCAGAGGGTATATCTCTCTCTCTCTCTCTCTTCCATTTATATTTGTGTAGCAAAATCCAGAGAGGATTTTCCACTAGCCATCCAAGGTCTTCCAAGGTTCGGGACCTGCATGGAGGCTGCCGCCGGTGCTAAGTTCATGGGAACCCCAAAGATGATGGGCACCGAATAGACACAGCGCACCACCAGCCTGGGGTCCAGCCAAGGGGAAGAAATTCTGTGATGAAATCAATGGAAAGACCGAATATCTGCAGAAATTGTGATGAAATCAATCTATAGAAATTGCATAGTAATTAATTTTACAGTGCATAAATAGTATATAACAAGTGGTTGCCAGATGTTGCCAGTGATGGGTATGGAACGGGTATGGTAGGTCCTACGAGTATCTGCTACATCCACAGATTCTTTACGCAATCCCGCCTTTCATACAACGGAAGGAGCATGCCGATGGCCAAGAACAATCAACAGTTCTAATACCATCCCCCCCCCAAAAAAAATGGTATAGGATTGTATAGATTATATAGTTGATGTTGGTTGCGTTTCTCCGTCATATCGCGCTTTTTTTGGAACTGCGCGCCCATTGCTGTCTGCTTGCCAAGCAGCATCCACCGGTCCTGGTCAGCACAACCATGGACCAGCGTCTGAAAAATGTGATTTCATTGGAAAATTAGGCAAGAAATATGGGGATACGGGGATGTACTGGGGATGTAAGATTATTGGGGTGTGACTGAAAATGTGGTATACCATGGTATACCTACCAATCTGATCCAATCTGTAGCTTTGTTTGATGGAGTCAATAATGATAAATCGTCAAATTTTGGGTGCCATATTTTCAGACACGCTATGGCAGAGCAACCTCATCCTAACAGGCTCTGAATGGAAGGCTGTTGTTGATGGGCTGATGCCAGTGTACACGGGTATGAGAGAAGACAGGAGGTAGTGAAGCAACACGTTTTTCATGCACCATATCCCTAATGAAGCTCCACCACATGATGTGTGACACAGCCAACCGAAAACCCTACAGGGAACCCTGGGATGACTGAAGAATGTCAAAGGGAACTGGAAATCAGGTTTACCTTAGTATCTCGTACATTGGGGATGCAATGGGAGACTATATTGGAATGAGCCAGCCATCGGAATGAAACATCTCCAAAAACCTTTAGTCAGTATTTTATCAAGCGGAATGCGCCAACCCTTGGTAGAAAGTAAAACTGAACACACATCTATAAATAAATGAATGAATGCATAGATAAATCAGTCAATTTTTTTAGTCAATTAATCAACCAACAAATTCACGCACACACACACATTTATATAAATATATATACATTAACACACACACACATATATATATATATATTATCAAAATGACGTAGCAATTCCTATCTAGGCATGCATCACCAGCTGCACAAATCATCTCCGGCCATTTTCGTTCGGCCTCTGCGGGATAGTTCCGGATGAAGTCCTGCTGCGTTCCAATGCCAAATGACAAATAGTCTCGGATCAGGGCATGGAAACACGGCAAGGTGTGTCAAATCTTGACGAATAAAACGGATGAATACAACAGAATCGTCACAAAATACAAAAAATGCCCTTCCCAGTTGTAAGTTGGTTTTTAACCCCATCTAACTATAGCGATAGATCCGCCATAAATCCTAGTTGGCTCAGTTCTAAACCAACTTATGTATCTGGGAGGACCCTCCCTGTGCGACTCGCGAGCAATCATGAGCGGTCCAGAGTCGGCAATGTCAAACCAGATTAATGGACCCCAGGGCTGATATCGGGGGTACAGTAGCCCCCCCAGAGAATGATTTGATCTGCTATGAAAAAAAAATGGTAGTGGAAAACCCATGATCTCCCAAGGATAAAGATCTACAAATAGTGGGTTCTCCACATCTATGTTAGTTTACAGGACATTACCACCAAGTTAAAAAGCCTAGGATTATGATAGCCTAGGGGTTAGCTTTCATCCGGAGGTTGACATTACAAGCCATCCTTTCACTTTCGACAGCGAGCCCTCAAACGGCCCAGTGACCACTGGTGGCAATAGTGGCATAAATCACCAGCCTCAAAGATCGGGAGTGTGACATCTGATGCAATACCCTTTAAAGCTGGTGAGTGGTGACCTTTCCAAGATCTCAGAATATATCATATGTACATTGACTTCATCATTGTTGTGGTCAAACTTGCTTTATGTGGATGGAGGCGATAGAGAGCAACTATGAGCGAATTGAACCAACTGTTCTCCATGGATTGCCCATATCATGGCGTCCATATCCATTCTGGGTATTTGCATTGGATATTATATATATATATATGTGTGTGTGTGTTATATACTATTTGCAACTTACACATTGCAATTTGTCCTTCCGAAATCAGCAAGAAACCCTGAGGTACTGCGCATCACTGTATCATGGGGAAACAAAAGGTGTCTTGTTGGAGCAACAGGTTGCAGGGGGATGGGCATATCTATCCATACATCATCATCCATCCATCCGTCCGTCCATCAATGTATCTACACATCTAATTGTATTACATCCATATCATGTAAGTATACCTCTATCATATAGATTTATATATACACCTGTACAATCCTGTACATATATTTAATCCCATTGCCAATAATACATACCTCCCATAGGGGCCCATACAGATCATGAGTTGACATGTAACCAGCGTGTCCAGGGCCTAGGTGGGCTTAGATCCAGCGCTGTGAATCCAACTCATTCAGTGGACTAATGAATCACACACTTGCTTTCATGGCCAATCTTTGATCCCCTGCACAAATTCTGATATCATTCTTGGCTGGTTAGTCCCCCCCACTACGGAAAGATGGTAGCATTCATGGCGTACTCACTGCCTATGCAAGGTTTACCCAGCTTCGTAGTCATGATTTCGACATATTTTGATGGTTTTCCATGGTTTTCCCACTTTTCTTGTGTCATTTTGTTGGTGAGGCACTTCTGGACCAAGAGATCCAAGAGACTCGATCAACACAGAGCTTAGGGCAACCTGAGATGCGCCCATGGCGGCTAAGCTGGAGAGTTTACCGTTTTAAAAAACCGCAATGGCAAGAAACAACACCACCAAATAAGCAAATCTATAAACAATTAAGCAAAGAAACAAAGAAACAAATACATCATACCACAACAGAAGCTTAAGATATACAAATTTTATGTGGTTAAAACAAAAAATCAACAAGCCCATTCTTGATGGTTTATACCACCCATAAACATGGTGAATTGGCTGCCAGGAGACGTACCAAATTCGCGTCGCCCTTGGCTGATCCAACGACAGGGCCACCGGGACCTAAGGGCTTGGCATGCTTGGCGCCGGACAGGCCCACCAGGCCTGGAAAAGATGGTACATTCATATGCTACATGTTGGGAAAATATATGGAAAAATGATGGAAAATGATGGAAAATGATGGAACATGGATAGAAAATGTATGGAAAATGAATGAAAATGATGGAACATGATGGAACATGTATAGAAAATGTATGGAAAATGTATGAAACAATGATGGAAAATTATGGAAATGTTTATGAAATATGCATTGTTGTTCATAGGAGTTCATAGGTCACACAGTTTCGAATCGAAATCACTGCTGCTCAATCTCTGGGGAATGAGGGGAAAGAGCCGACCATCTTACTTGGAATGCAATTGTCATGTCTTCACTAAACAAATGTAGATTTGGATAGATGTGGATGTATTTGCAGGTTTTACCCCTCATACCACTATATAGCTTTGAAACTATAAGCCAATGCTTGGCAGGCCGCAACATGTATTGCCGAAAAATCAAAGTTTGAAACCCCGTGTGTCTAACTTTGACATTGGCTCGACCGGATTTAATGCTTTAAAGAAAGGGAATGTAACGAACGACCAAAAACATGAAGGTCACGGCGCTCCTCCATGAAGGTCACGGCTTGCTTCCCTTGATTTCCCAAACAAAATATTTGGCCAAATCATGCCAAATCAATCGTGCGCAAAAATCTTGAACCTGCCGGGTTTCCTCAATAGATGGGGAAAAAAAAACATGACCTATACGTTGACTGTAATGGGCCAAAAGTCATGCATGGGCCACCTTCGATTGGTTTTAAGATGTTTTCTTGTGCAAGGCTTCACCTCCTCGAATGAATATAGGAGAGGTCCACATTCAGGTGACTATTTGGGCAAGCGGGGCAAGCCCTGGTACCCTGATCCATTTGGATTTGAAGACGCACGCGTAAATCCAAGGGGTTTCCATGGGTTTCCTTAACTTTCCCCATGGAAATGGCCACACCTGGGTTTACACCCCACAAAGCCAGGTTGTTTTATATCGGAAAACAACTACGAATCCATTGTTTCGGCAGAGCTGAGGGGCTGCATTGGTGTGGGCATTGAAGGAGAAGAGTGCCATAGCAAAGGACTGCAAGACCTGCCATGAATCATAGCTGGTGATGTTCATGGGTAATCAAAATTAGGCCCGCTGAGCGGAAAACAACATAGTAAGGGATACACAACAGCTACAGTCAGCTACGGACTCTCCGAAAAACCATCCAAGTATTCCAGGAAAGTCTACATTTCTTATCTCAGACATCCGCGTAACTATGTGACACGCAAACGTGAAGTCATCTGACATTGCTTGAAACAAAAAGCAGATCCATCCCAAGCATACCTGGGCCAGTCAACCTTAATCAGCCAAGAAACAATGTGATACAATGAGACAGTGTGCCGGTGCCGACAGTATACCCATAAACTAATTGAATCTAATTGATGCCCTCAATTTCTTGACATTGGACGTGTCTCATCGTGGCATTTTTTTCTTCCCAGTGACATTGACTAGCGTTGTGAATGAAATCATCCGAATTTGGGTCTGCCCAAAAGTAAGGCACCAGAAAAAATCCCGTCGTTCATCATTGTTAATCATGTCCCCCATTCATTCGCCATTTCTAGGGGGGTATATCGGTATATATCCCATGTATATCCCATGTATATCCCATGTATATCCCATGTATGTCCCATGTATGTCCCATGTTCATCCATCTTTCCAATCGAATTTGGTCCCGCAACTCGGTCCCCGAACCGTCCAAAGGCTGTACTTCGCCGTGTCCAGTTGGTCCAGTTCCACTGCGTCTCTCCAGTGCCCTGGGGTCTTCGCCGCAACCACCAACGTCAGAAAGACGATTGCGCTGATGCTGAGGAAGGAGATATATCTCAGGGCAGTGACATGTCCTGACATCGGCGCTATGCTCCCAACTAGGTTCCTGTAGATCCTGTAGATACTCTTGGGAATCTCTGGGAAACTCGGGAAAATAAGGACGTCAAATGACCAATTCGCCACCCTTTGTGATCACTATGCACCTGCAAGAGGTTGGAACATCACTGTTAACTGTGAAACGGCACGGGATGTCTCTGTACACCGAAGTTTCCATCGCCAACGTACAATCCCCCTTCAACATTTTCTTAGCCAAGAAAATCCACATTCTGGCACTAACAGTCACTAACCAAAAAACGACGCTGGCACAGCGGCACAACTGCGTGGCGACCACAAGTTTGGACAGACCTCACATATACTCATATACGATCATCTGTCAACAAATATAGATACCCTCCGGTAATCAAACGTGTCAGTGGGAAAAGAAACACTAGTGGAGGTAATGGGAAAATCATCTGGGGGATCGATTTCTATGTTTGATTAGCGAAGGGTGTTCACCCCATCTAACTGCTAACTGATCATTGTGAATCTTCACCGATCCAGTTCGTTCATGTAACCATTTTTGTTTCTTCAAATCCAAAGTTTAATCCCCCTGTATCCCACTGTAGCGCCGTAAAATGATTGGTTTCTTCAATTTTGTTACAGTTAAACCAACCTTCTTGCCATGGGCAATCCCAATTTTTGTGGTTAAACCAGTTTTTTGTCGCCATTGTTCTTTGTCAAATTCATTTTTCCCGCAATTTTTGCTGTTCCAACGCTTCCAACCAGTTCTGTTGTAAACATTGACAGCGAACTACTAAAATCCAATGTTTTCCTATATCCCCCAGTCACTATAGTTTCCACACCCGGACCTCTCCCAGATTTCGCGAAGCTGCTGGGAATGGACAGCGGAAAAACCACCAACAGCGATGCCATGATCACACGATGACGCGATACCTAGCGCCAGGATTAAATCGATGACAGGGTTGCTCCCAGCATCCAGAGGAGAAAACCAGTAAAATTTGGATAAACATGATAAAATAAAATTTGCTAAAATATGAAAAAACTATATATATATATAGGAAAATTATTGCGATACATGGGGATGAAATGGATGTTTCATTGGAATTCATGGGGTTTATTGTGATTCACAGGGATTTAGCCAAGAAACATGGGAATATTCACCCACCCACCCATTTAAATTTAGGTGACCCTAACACCCACGGATATGGGCTGAACCATTGATTGTTCATGGGGGTCACGCTTGCGGGCTGACTCAAGATGCAGAAGGTATTTTTTCGGGTTACCATCCCCCAATTCAACATAGACCCTGAGAAAGACACTTTTTTGATGGAGGTTCGGATCTCTTAAGACCGAATTCTTACGGGGCAGTGATACTGTATTACTTTTTTTGGTTATTGGATTGTGTTTGATTCAATCTGTTTGGAGCTCGATGGATAGACATATTGATGTTGTAAACACATGTAGAACCATACAGATAGATGTATAGATACAAATTGTATATGATTTAACCATGTAACGATGTATTTATGAACTAGTAAAACATGATATAAGATATAAGCACAGTGTGGATCGCATGTAGGTTTGCATAAACCATAACTATAAAATACCATTAAAAAATATGATCATCTAGATGGTTGAAACTGGAACGTCTTCACTTTGAACTATAGCTGCCTCGAGACTCATGTCTATTAGGGCAAAATAGCATGCGTAAAAAGAAAGGGTCAAATAGATTGGAGTAGCAACCCAAAATATTTAACCCAAAAATTGGACATGTATGCAATGTAGAAGTATACCCTCTGGTAAACAAAATGTTTGCTATTGAACATGGCCATAAAAATAGTTGATTTACCTTTAAAAAAAATGGTGATTTTCCATAGATATGTTAGTTTACTAGAGGGATCCAGAAGGCAAATTGCCGATTTCAAAGATCATCCAACATCCGACGACGGGGCGTTCGAGCTCCGCCTCATCCAGGTTAAACAAGGGCGAACGCGCCTCAAGGCTGCGAGGTCCCCGAGGTCCAGCCCAGATAATTTGGGAAACCAAAACAATTAACTATATATATATATAATAATAATAATTAATCAAATACCCTCTGGTAAATTAACATAGACCCCGAAAATCACCAATTTTTGGAGGAAACTAATCTTCCAACCCCTATCTGGCAGGGTCTATGTTAATTTACTGGAGGGTAATAAATCAATAAATATGTATATCTATCTATCGATCGATCTATCTATCTACCTATCTAACATGAACCATAGTTAAGTATAGATCTATCTACTTGGAGGATCCTCCCACGAATAACCCTTGTGATCGTAAATCAGCAGGGTTAAAAACACTTACTAAGTGGGATGATTCTTCAAGTACCCTGGTATAACCATGCAATGTATACCCCATGTTTTTCCTAGCCTTCTGCAAAACAAAAAGCGTGGCAAACGTCATAAGAATCTTGGGAACTCAACTTGGGATCAACAGTCACTCCAATAACCAATCAGACATGGGATAGATGGATTTACCGTCATTGACCCACGAAATGCAACAACTGTTGTCATGGGGACTGAACCAACTCTGCAAAGGTGGCGATCACCAAGTAATTATGTTATATGTTTTTTGGATGGTTATTAACACAGCAACCATCTACCATAGGGCGGGTCACCCTTCCACCTTTCGGACACTTCTTTCTTGCAAGATTCCAGCCCAGCTTAATGACTTCTGTTTGGTAAGCAATTTCAAGGCTGTTAGTAGAGTCACCAGTTCCTTCTCACGAGTCCTGATTACCTTGGCGTCCCAAAAAAACACCAGAACATCTCCCATTCAAAGCCTGGACTCTAAAAGTGGATCCAGGGACTTTCCACTGAAACAAACCCACCTCCAATTGCAATAGGTCCCCAGGGACTTTCCACTGAGATGCACCAAGGCGCAATATCTGACATGAAATCGCCAATGAGCATCATGTAGATCAGCACCGCCGCCATCCCATAGAGGGTGATGACCACATCCACCGAGAGATCCCTCACAGGACCGTGACCGTCCTTAGGCGTCATGAACTCATGAATAATTGCGATCTCACTTTCAAACATGTTCCATGATCTCCACCCCACTGATCACCCACACCTCTCCCGCCAATAAAGTGGCACCAGGTGGCCAGGTTTTCCTCCTGCAACTGCGAGACGAGCTCTGCAAAGGAACGGCTCTGGGTATATCTGGCACAGCTCATCAGGATCACCAAAAAGATGTGAGCCTCGGTGCCAGTTGGGTCAGGTGAATGGAAATAGGGTGGGAAAAGGGGTGGGTATAGGTCACTGGACGGTGGACGGTGAGAGAGAGAGAGAGAGGGAGACACAGAGAGAGAGAGAGAGACAGAAAGAAAGAAAGAAAGAAAGAAAGAAAGAAAAAGAGAGATGGAGAGAGAGAGAGAGAAAAAATAAATAATTAGATACCTGCAAGGGCAAACTCCAGATGGCATGAACAGATTTTTATTTGCCCTTTGAGTACTGCACTGGGATTTCCTGAGAGATCCTGAGAGTATGTCTGCTTCAGTGGTTAACTTGCCCCAACTTTGCAAGCAGGATGTGTTTCTGCCTTGCGTTCTTATGAGCTATTGCCCTCTGCGCCAATGGCTTGTGACAGTAATTGCTTGGTTCTTGCAAAATGTTTTACGCGCTGTTATTCAAGTTTCTACCTTCGTGGTTTTACTTGAGTGACGCTGCTCATGCTTGCAACCGCTGGGATGCAGGTGCACGCCTCTAGCATGAAGTCAGACAAGTGAACCAGGCCAGATTCATAGTTTTCTAGTTCGTGCGAGTTGATTCGCACCATGTCTTAAGGATTGGCAACAGGTTTGGGGTGAAACGCAACTGATTTGGAAAGGTAAATGCCCGCATAAATGTTTCCAGGAAATCATAATCCCATTTAACTATTCCCTAAATTCTCCCAGGGGCCATTCAGCCCCGAGCCCTCATCCCGCTAATCCTCTTGCTGTGGCATGATGGAAAACCAACCTACATTTTTACTTGACACTTGATTTGGGGGTAGTGATCTACAAGTTTCGGCGGAAAGTTACTTAAATTGGGTCATGTTGGAGTTCCATCTACACACCCAAAAATCAAGTAGCAAGTAAAATAGTTGATTTAAATGCTCTACTGTAGATGTCAACCATTAATATTTGAAAGTTCCAGATCTAAGCCTTTCAAAAAAACTAGACGACGGATGGCCCGAGAGCGTAGAGGAGCAGGGTCTTCTCTTCTTAGTATGGTGACACCGTATTACAAAATAATATATTAAAGATGTGTTGTAAGCATACGAGAAGAGGAGTATTAAGACAATATAGCACAAGTACAAGACAATAGTTTGCATCGCAAACACTTTTACACACAGAAGCTTTTACACACAGAAGCTTTTACACACAAAAGCTTTCACACACAGAAGCTTTTACATACAGGCACTTTCACACACAGACGCTTTTACACACAGATGCTTGTACACACAGACGCTTTTACACACAGACGCTTTTACACACAAACGCTTTTACACACAAACACTTTTACACACAAAAGCTTCTAGCCACAGAAGCTTTTACACACAGATGCTTTTACACAGAAGCTTTCACACAGATGCTTTTACACAGACGCTTTTACACACAGACACTTTTACACACAGACGCTTTTACACACAGACACTTTTACACACAGACACTTTTACACACAGCACACAGAAGCTTTTACACAGACACGTTTACACACAGAAGAAATTGCAATTTTACTTCAGTTTTTCGCGATCGAACCTCATTCCGTGCGAAAGAGGGTTGCGCGGGAGAAGTTGAAATTGCAATTTTACCTCAGTTTTTCGCGATCGAACCTCATTTCGTGCGAAAGAGGGTTGCGCGGGAGAAGTTGAAATCGCAATTTTACCTCAGTTTTTGGCGATCGAACCTCATTTCGTGCGAAAGAGGGTTTCGCGGGAGAAGTTGAAATCGCAATTTTACCTCAGTTTTTGGCGATCGAACCTCATTTCGTGCGAAAGGGTTGCGTTTCGTGCCGTCTCGTTGGCACTGCCCCGGCCCCCGCCTTCAGAAGAGAAATAGAAAAGAAGGAGAGCGCAAGAGGGCAAGAGGGCAAGAAGGCAAGAGGAGAAGATGTGAAGATGTGAGGATGTGAAGATGTGAAGATGTGAGGATGAGAAGATGTGAAGATGAGCAGATGTTAAGATGTGAAGATGTGAAGATGAGAAGATGTGAAGATGAGAAGATGTGAAGATGTGAAGATGTGCAGATGTGAAGGCGAGCAGATGTGACGATGAGACGGTGTGAAGATGAGAAGGTGTGACGATGTGAATATGCGAAGATGATGAGAAAATGTGAAGATGAGAAGATGTGAAGATGAGAAGATGTGAAGATGAGAAGATTAGAAGATGAGAAGATGACATGAAGATGCGAAGATGAAAAGATGAAAAGATGAGAAGATGAGAAGATGTGAAGATAAGAAGATGTGAAGATGAGAAGATGAGAAGATGAGATGAAGATGTGAAGATGTGAGGATGTGAAGGTGAGAAGATGTGAAGATGAGAAGATGAGATGAAGATGAGAAGATGTGAAGATGAGAAGATGTGAAGATGAGAAGATGTGAAGATGAGAAGATGAGATGAAGATGTGAAGATGAGATGATGTGAAGATTAGAAGATGAGAAGATGACATGAAGATGCGAAGATGAAAAGATGAAAAGATGAGAAAATGAGAAGATGAGATACAGACCCCCACTATTGGAAGAACCCTGCGCTCAGACGCTCTCGGGAAAAATTGTAGAGATTCCTAGGGAAAAGGTATGTGTTGTAGATGTCTACCTGCTGATTCTCATAGGCTGAGATCTACACGGGGTTCAGCAAACCAGAGGATTTAGGAAATTGTCAATTGAAACTTGCAGAAGTCGACCTCCATTTTTGTGACAGGGAAATCTACAACGAGCAACCTTTCCGCTTGCATTAGATTTGGGATCAAGACTTCAAGGGTCATTGCACAGCAATAAGATTACCAATTACGCCACCAAGAAATCAACATACACCATATCAACGGAATGTTTAGGCCCCCAACCCAATGGACATCACAAATATCTACAATAATGCTAGCCAAAATTAGGACCTCAAATCAAATGCTTTTGGCCCAAGATCAAGTGCTATTCCTGTCTTCATCATTCTAGACTTCAGCTTAATTGATTTCTAGTGGAGATGCCGTGTGTAGAATGACCGGAACTGTTTAATCTATTTGTTTTCTTTCTGAGTTTCAAGACTAGTAATATATATATATATATATACAAATATGTTTCCGACAAAAGTTTTTACATGTCAATAATTATTGATTATTATCGGTTATTTTTTCTATCTTATAATAACATGTTGTCGGTTCACCATCTCATTTCCTGGATACCCAGCCAGGTTTCCATGTCGCCATCCAGATCATCCAGCCACCCCCACGCTTAAGAAGCAAGCTGCCAGGACCGCCCCGCAGGTCAGCAACAACAACCCCAGGCCCAAGCCCACCTTGCCTGAGCTCGAGGGCGGTGGAAGGTCCCTGGATAGCCAGTTTCGAATGGGGGTGATCAATCTTGGTCGCCAAGGCCTCGAAGGCAAGGCACTGAACATATGCGGCAAGGAGAGGCAGCCGGCGCCCATGGCAGAGGCCACCAAGGTGAAAATGCCTGAAGGAATCAGAGGGACCCATAGGGACACACATGGGCATGTCTGAAAACTTTCATTTCATGATGATTTGTGCTGATTTGGCTAACATATAGGGATGTAATGAAGATATTATGATCTGGGATTGTTTGGCCGAATTCATATTATGAAAAAATATGTTGAATCATTGGATGTTGGGCGCGTTCCTGTTTCACATGTAGAATCACCCCGAATTCTTAGTTTGAGCGTTCCGCCAAGGCACTGCTGAGCATTGACCCTCGCCCCGTGACCTGCGCCAAACCAACGGCTTCGTTGATGGTCTCCAGTTGGCTGCCGTGGTAGATCAAGTTCTGCAAGAATTTGCCCTCGGAAATTTGTTTTTTGCACGAGGTGGCGACAAAAACTGGGGGCAAGTGGGCTGGCATCATTTGAGGGACATGTAAATTTCATTAAATTTGAAGTCTCGGACGGATCCAACAATTTTATGGGACATGCAACAAAAAATTATACGGACGGCGCACAATCACGTGTTGAACAAAAGACTTGGATTTTTTTTTTGCATTTTTTGCCCATATGCATTGACACCAGGCTGACCCACAAGAGAACGACATATACAGCTTGAAGACTTCTTGGAGGTGGGAGGCATGCTTGGAATTTACCAACCCATACGTTTTTTTTTTAAATTAATGTATTAGACCAAACAATATTTCGGATGTTTCAACCCAGCCACACTTTGCGGACATCTGGGCCGCGCCCCCAGGTCCACGAAAAGGTTTTCGCTGGAGGGATCACGCCCCAGCCGCCGCCGCTCGCAGCGGCCGGTGCCCGGGGATTCCGATACAGGACTGGCAAGTTCCTAAGGGGACAAGGTGACCTTCATCATATCCACCAGACACGGACCACGAGCAAAGCGATCAAAACATGTTGGTTCAATAGATTTGGTATATAGTGAAAACAAAAAACAACAGAAAAACGGCAAGGAAACATGAATGTTGAATGTAGTTGGATTTGATGGACCTGCCTGTGGAAAACCACGATGCGGTATCAACATACTATTGGTTTACCAAGTTCCAAATTCACTTTGTAAATGTGCCATGATGCACCCCCTTGGCAGCTCCTTCCACCTAGAAATTAATAATGTGCATCCAACTTCATCCGTCGACAAGGAAAAAATTGCAATTGCCGCAATTGTCCAGTTGCCCTGATCAAACCAAATCCGAATATCAAATCATTTTCCGGAAGGAACCCACAATCAACCATAAAGGTTGCTGTTGACAAAATAAATGACAGGTAATGGTGGCTTAGCAGGTCTTGGTTGATAAACAGTCCAAGGGTGAAAGGATGTGGGACTTGCACGTGCCACCATGCGCCCAGATGCATGGTTGAAATTTATGGTGTTGCAGGCAAGTGTCCCGATAACCCTCCACCCAGCTGGACGACATGGTTTCAGTACGGGCCATCAACAAACGATCCGAAACATATTGTTTTCGGTCCGCTTGAGTTCAGCCCTTGGTTCTGAGCCGATGTCACCACGGGATGTGCATCACCACGAAATAACCTAATCCGTTGCGGCCAACTTATATGGGGGTACATGATTGTTTTTATGATAGCGCCAGTCTAGTTGCCAATAGATTTGCAGAAATTCAAACCAATTGCCAGCAAACTGCCGGCATTGTCTACATTTGCTGGCGCCAAGAAAGCAGATGGCGTGAAACCCACTAATGTTGTAGAACAAATTTTCGGATTGTATATTATGTATGTTATTGTTGCTTTTCCTCAACTAAATTTTCCAATCTTTGAGGCCGTGTCATTGGTGATGATTGATGTCTGTCTTGGTTATGGTTGAGGCATGGGTTTTGCCGGCAATATTTTCGAAATTTGTATGCCGACGAAACGTGCCAAGTAAAATTTTAACTAACAACTCTTTAAGACCATGAGAGCAGCAATAGACATGTGCATCGGAGCCGGACGCACCTTTTGTAAACGTTGGCCATGAGTGTGACTCACTCAGCTAGCTAGGATCACTTTTGAAGTGTCCCACTCTGGCTGAGTCAAACATGTGCTTCCCTCCGCTTTTGAGTTAGGAGAGGGCGGGCGGGGATTTCAAAATCACACCCTTGAGCCAAAATGGCCCCAGGCCAAGCTGGTTCAAGGGTTTCCCTCCCACAAACACCCCTCTCATGTCATTTAGTTGTTACAACAACAGCTTCACTGTTTCACCCAACAACTCTTTAAGACCATGAGAGCAGCAATAGAAATGTGCATCGGAGCCGGACGCACCTTTTGTAAACGTTGGCCATGAGTGTGACTCACTCAGCTAGCTAGGATCACTTTTGAAGTGTCCCACTCTGGCTGAGTCAAACATGTGCTTGATTGAGTCCATGATGCCAACCTGGTCCATTCTGCGTTCGAGCGCATTATGACTCCGATGAGGATGATGAAGAGGTAGAGGACTCATCATCCAATTTCTGTTGCTTGGGCTTAAAACATTTGTTGCATTCTGGCTTGTCTGGGTCCGCTTGACTTGCAAGTGCATAGTCTGCGTGACCACGTGCAAAATACCAGTTGCATTGGGTGCGCCATAGGTAGTGAGGACGTGTTGGTCCACTACAGGCTACCTTGTGGATCTTGCCGTAGGCAGATCTGTTAATCACAAACTCCACTGAAGCTGGCTGCTCCGATTGCGGAGCAATATCCACCGCAGCCTCGCAGTCCGCAAGGCAGTCCACGGACTGGTTCCGTAAGGAAACTGCTGCGGCTGGCGGGGAACAATTTTGCGCCTGGCTGAGGATCGCAGAAAGTTCCGCCCGGGCTGCTGCTAAAGAAGTTGTGAGAGAAGCTTCTTTTGCCAAGGAATGCAGCTGCTGAAGTGGAGCGTCGCGGATATATATCCTGAAGCACTCCGAACCCCAGCGCCCAAATAGCTGGATCCTCCAGAGTTCAATCTGGGTCTGTGCCAGGTACACTGCGCCCAGTTGCCCGGGCGCTGTGTCCGGTGAATCTCCTTGCCCCAGTGTCTGTGTGAGTAGGAAGATTCAGCTGCTGTGCCATGCATTGCATGGTGTCGGCCCATCCGCATTTGGATGACTGCTCACCTGTGGCTGATGGGAAAACCCAGCGATCGCTGATAGCTCCCACTGCCTCTAGGTGCTCCACCATGGCATGGTATGGACACTCTGGCTGCCGGGCATTCTGTTCGCAATTACACGAATGCGTTCGAGTTGCGCCCAGGGCCTGCCAATCCGCCTTACTGGATGGAAGCTTCCAGTGGATAAGTCTTTGGACCTTGTCGATTTCGATGTGCGACCTCTCTGCCGAGCTTGCCTCGATTTCACGAAGGAGCCACCATGATGCCAACATGACGGACCTCATCGGGAAAATTGGTCCTCCAGGAGCTGCTGGGTCCTTGTGAACTTTCAGCTTCGCTAGCTCGATCATCGGCAAAGGTTGCGCCTGTTTGGCTGGCCCTCGGCCCCTTTGGCACGCCCTTCTGGCTTGCCTAGAGGCCTGGGCAAGCTGTGCTGTCCAATCCAGTCCTCTCTCAATGTGTATCTGCTTGGCTGTGTCCATGTATAGCTCTGCTGATCTATAGCCGGCCATGTCCATCGCTCCCATCACCGTGTTGATGAGGTCCGGGGAAAGACGGAACGGGTCTGAGAAACCCGCCGCCCTGGCCAAGGCAGACCACGTTGATTTCCTTGACTCGTAGGGGCCTCTGGATGTATCTGCCTTTGCTCTCTTTGTGATGTGTTCTGCACACCTTTCCGGACCTGTGGATGCGTGCCTTATGGCGTCGTTTAACGAGCCCCTAGCGTAAGCCTTGACACCTGGCTGTGCCAATGGTGCGGCTGCTTCGGGATGCCCGGGGTCGACGGCCCCATATACGGGCCCCTCCTGCAATGGGCGTAGCCCTGCAGAATGGGTGGCTGGTTTTGCCTGGGGTATTCCCTGGCCCAGCCAAAACCGTGGACCTAGACTACGCTTCATTTCGAGCCCAAAACTCATGTGTTACCTACTCAAGAAAACATGCAGTGCACAGCCTCAGCTCTTATGTGAACACCTATGCCCCCAAACCATTTTTCCCCCCTTTGAAAGATCTGGCGTTACCCTTTGGTAAATGCCAAAACGAAGAATCCACTTGGATGGGTATGCGTGATGCAGCCCCCAGGTCTTCGTGCGGAAAACATGGTGGGGAAGGTTCAAACTGCCGGCTCAATGCATCTGCTACTTTATTGAGTTTGGTGTTCAGATGTTGAAGGATTGTGAACTCGTATATTCCCTTCGCCTGATCTAAAGCTATTTCTCTGGCGATCATAGCCAACCCTGGCGACTTGGCCTTGCCTTTTGCTAACATGTGGAGGGCCGATATGTTGTCAGACTTGACACGGATGATGGACCCAAGTGGAAACCTTATCAGCCATGTCCTTGCGGCTAGTAAGAGGCACAGGGATTCCCAAAGCGCCATGTGGCTGGGGTCCCCTGGTTGTGCACCAGTACGAACGATGAACTCTTGGGGTATGGTTGTGCTGAAGAACTCGACTGGTCTGTCCCCAACTATCATAATAGCCCCCAAGCCTCTGGTTGATGCGTCCGTAATAATAATGCACTTTGTCTCTTGCCTGAAAGCCCTCACTACCCTGGTGAACGGAGCTGCCTTTTCTCCCAGCAAGGCGTCTATCCACTGTAAGGCTATCCCAATGCGGCGCACATGGACAACATTTCTGGTCTTCTTCGGACCGTCATTCGTTGCCAGTGCAGCCCACAGGGAGTTCAAGAAAGGTCTCATGAGAGGGACCAATCCCGCCACGAAGGACAACGCGCCTGCTAGACTTTGTAGCTGTCTTCGTCCAATGACCGGCCTCCTCAAGTAGGTCTGGACTTTTGATTTCAGCTCAGCAACTTTGTCTTCAGGTATAGTTACAGATATGGTGTGGTTATCGTGATCTGCTTTTATAACGGCTCCTATCCACTTCACCTCTGTTCCTGAATCAGACTTCTCCAGTTTGAGCGGGTACCCGGCTATTTGTGACCAGAGCAGGGAGATCCCCACCCTTTCCTTGTGATAGGGGTCCGTGCAGTCAAACGTGAATAACGGGTCGTCCACATACGTTTGCAGTCTGATGTCAGGGTTGATAGAGGCAAGGGACCTTCCAAACCATGCAGCATATCTGCCCCATAAAGTTGGAGATGAAACTGAACCGAAAACCAGGACATCATAAACAACAATTTTCAGTGTGCCAGTTTTGTCCCTGAATGCAGCTGAAGTGAATGCTCTGTCTTTACCCGATGGAATGTTGTGGAAGGCATCGCGGATGTCCACTGCTAGAAACGCTGGCTTCCCCCCTTTTCGGAAAATTTCCAAAGCGTCCTCAATGGCGTCGGTGACCCTCGGCAGTAACACCCTTTCGCCTTGGGAGCATAGCTTGTTTGTGCCGCTCTCCCTCATGTCCCAAATAATCCGTGCCTTCCTAATCACTCCCTCAGGTGTTTGTTTCTCCTTGACCAACAGACCCAGTTTGTTTAATACGGGTTTTATTCCGATTTCCCTTTCCGCAGCAGCCATGTTGGGGTAGAATGAACAGAAACCTTTAGATGCAGCCTCATCAATAAGTTTGTGTAGATCTTCTTCCCACTCGACGGCAGATGGATGGTTATCCCAGTTTTCGAATGACCTTTGTAATTGTTCTGCTGCCTCAGCTTCCCATTCAACCTCCTTAACCACGGGGAATATGCCCGTACAAGGAATGGGTTCGGTGAAGCCTAGGGGAGCGCCCGACCTCAACCACTGCGCCAGCACCGGGGAATCCGGGTCCCCACTTATTCTTCCCCAAGCATCAAAAATCTGAGGTTGGAGTGGTGTGCATGCTTTTGCAGTACTAGGTTGAAAGGTTCCTGGGGACAACGAACATACCAGTTGCCTAAGCTTGTCAATAAGCTGAGCTGAAATCGGAGCTGCCTGTCCACCCGTTAAAATTTGGTCGACTAGCGATTTGACAGAGGGGTGAGATGTTGCTTGCTTGAGAAGCTTGAAAACGGCCCTGCCTGCCATGTCGGATTTTGGGATCCTCCTGATGGACTTTAGCGGGTTGCGCATCCCCCCAATGGCATCGGCATTCTCAATCTCCCTCTGTCTCATCGCTTGGTCCTCTAAGACTGGTCCTGTTGGTCCGGCACTCACGCCTCACTTCGCTGCCTTCCTGAGACTCCCCTCGCGATGCTTCATCACGCGGGGAAGGTCCGCCTTCTCCATCGCCTCTGCCAAGGCCTTGTTCAAGGCTGGCGGGTACTCACCCAGAGCTTTGGATGCTCGCTCCTTTTCTCCTCTGACTGTCCTCCACCTCTGGACCAAGGACTCATGTGGTGAAACGTAGGTCTCTCCGTTTGGTCTGGTCCATTCCTTCGGAGGATGGTTGCACCTCCTCCCCTTGATTTGTCCAAGGGGAAGGGAGTCCGTCTGAATCCTTGTGGGCTTCGTTGTTTCTGCTCCAAATTGGCATTGGTCGAACAGCGCCTTTTCCACCAGCGCGTGACCAGTCATCTCTTTGAACCAGCTCGTTTTCCACATGTCGAGCTTCTCCTTGTGGTCTGGATTTTCTATCCAGTAGGCGGCTCTGATGCGCCTCACTTCTCTCGTCACGTGTGTGGAAAATTCGATGAGATGATTCGCCTCCTTGAGCTGTTTTCTCTCCTCTGAGGAAAGGCTTTTGAGAGGCAGCCCATCCGGATGTTGTAGGGACCTGAGTGGTCTCCGGCCCGGCGGATTCTCCCTCAGTGGGGACACCGTTTCGCAAGGTGTAGCCATGCCCACTACGTCGAAGACGCCAGCCCTGATATCCGCGAAGATCTTGCGACACACCTCCGTGTCCAGAAGGTCCGCCGCAGTCGGCCCCTGCTTGTCGACCACCACCACTATCCATCCCATGTGATGAAGATAGGAGGTAAGGTCTCCATCCCTCGGGCGCCCTGAGAAGAGCAGGAGGGCCCTGGGCCTGTCATCCCACAGCTGCGGGTCCAGGTTGGTGGCCCCATACTTGTAGTCCACGTACAGCGGCATTGATGGGATCTTCTCTCTCCCTGCTTGTACCGTAGTGGATGATGATGTGGACGATGAGCTGGAGTCACTTGAGCTTCCGGGTTCTTCCTCCTCTCTTGGGTTTGGTGCCTTCCGGTCTCTGTCTTGCCTCGGCCTCTTGTGGTGTGAAGCGGCTTCATTCTCTGGGTTCGCCCTTTTTGGGGCAGCTTCTAACCTGGGTCTCTTCACCGCCGGCCGATGAGTGCCTCCAGGGGACCTGGAAGGGGAAACTAGGCGATCCCTCCTGTCCCTGACTGGGATGGCCTCATGTGGCCTCTTCCTTCGTGGAAGCGGTGGCCGCGTGTCTTTCGGTTGGGCCTCTCTGTTTGGAGTCAGCTTGATCCCTAACTTTCAGTTGGGCCCCTTGCAGTCTTTGGCCATGTGGGGGCCTAGACACTTGTCACATTGATGTGAACGATTGTTCTCACATCGTGACTGCGGCTTCCCGTTTCCGCAGGCGCCTCTGTTGTACTTCTGGCAGATCTGGATCCCTTTTCGGTTCAAGGAATACCTTGACTGTTCTGCGTCCCAACGTGATCTGTCCTCACCTGTGTACTTGCGCTTGGCCTTCTTCTTCTGCGTGCCTTCTGGCTGCCGAGACTTGCGCTTCTGTGGGCGACCCTCTTGAGAGCTGCTCTCTTCAGGTGCCAGCTGTTTGTTGCGGGCCAGAAGGAGCGTGGCTGGCGTCGCCACTTCTTTGGACCAAAAGTCCGACTCCCTGACCGTTGCCGCAAAGACTGAGCTCCATGGAGAGGCCCTAGTGTACCCATACTTTGGGTCCTCATCCAGGGCTCTGCGGATCCGCTCTTGGAACTCACTTCTCATCCTGACGTCTGCACGGTATATGATGCCCCATGCTTCCTGTCCGAACTGCGCATGGAGGTCCTTTATGTGTTCTAGGTAGCCCTCCAGTCTCTCGGCATCTGCAGCCTCCAACAAGAGCATAGCCACCTTGTAGGTCTTGAAGCTCTTCTCCCATTGTTGGAGAGTAGCCGGACCTGGGCTCTCTTTCTTCGACCACTCCCCAGTCGCCGCATTCAGGGTGTAGGAGGAGAACACACTCCTGCGCAGCGACCGGATGGCGTGTGGCCCGAAGATTGACATGTCTATGTACGGCAGAGCTCCCGCTGGTAAGGAGCTGTTTGATTGCTGATATTTGATCAGCGCTGGGTTCCACGTCTGCTGACGGGACATCGCCGAACTTGGACTTGTACTTGGAGAACATCTCTGCAATTTCTTCTTGGCCCAATTGCAGGATCTCTGCATCGAGTGTGGGATCTACGATGCTACTCAGTTTAAGCTTTCTTGTCGGAGATGATGGACCTTGTCCTCCTCCAGTGCCTGGGAATGGGGCCGCTCCCACAATCGGCTGTGGAGGGCCTGCACCACCAGGTCCATCTGGATTGACCTTGAGCCTCAGGAATACCACCCGGCGAAAGATCTCGACCCGTGAAAATTCCACAGGGGTCAAGTCTCGCTCGGCCTCCGTACCATCAGCTTGAGGCTCTTTGATCGTGAGGCTGGCTACCACCGTATCCCACGCAGGACGGGCAATGAACACCAGGTCCCGCAGCTTGGACGGTTTGCCCAACTTCCCCATGAGATGGTCGTGGACCGCACCTGTCGTGCCTGCCCAGTCGGCTGCATTCTCCAAGGTGTTGAGGTTATTGAGTTCCTCTTCGGTTGGATCCATGGTATACCGGACCTTCACTCCACGACACCTGTCTCGAGACTGGGCCTTGCGGACTTGCCCTGGGTCCGGGAGTGGCTACCCTGCGCCTCCTCTGGTTTAGCCTAGGAGGGCTTTGCACAGAAGGTAGCTGATGATGTGAATAGTTGCGGAAAGCCAGTGCCACGGTTCTCCTTCTGTGGATAAACCGTAAGGCTCGACTGACCAGCTGGTGCCAGCCAATCGTGCTCGGGTGGCCGGCCGATCCTCGGGTGCGCAAATTCCAATGGCTGACCCACGAGTGAAGTTTCCAACCCAGGATGGCACCGACCAGGACAGCACCACAAAGTGCTACCCCGATCACAGTCCAAACGCCCCCAAACCAAGGTTCGGATGGGCTTGAACTTGCCGTCAGGTCGGATCCCCCACTTAAGATCAAGGCCATGGGATTTCAAAATCACACCCTTGAGCCAAAATGGCCCCAGGCCAAGCTGGTTCAAGGGTTTCCCTCCCACAAACACCCCTCTCATGTCATTTAGTTGTTACAACAACAGCTTCACTGTTTCACCCTACAGGTCATGCGGCACGCGTGCTCGAGACAAATTGATTGTTGCGCCGAAAAGTGGTACCCGTCGCACACATTTTCCGTTTTACACGTGCAAGGGCGAGGCCGTATGACTATGTTTGCTACAAGTAGGCATTTGGCGGCGTGCCAACCTTTCGTAGTAAAACATAAAAACGATGATTGCGCGGGGATTGCTTTGTTACCCATGTCAAATGGGAGAAAAAAAACGCGTAATATAAATGTGTTATTACCCTATCATTTGTGTTTTTATTCTTGTTGGTATTATCTGGTATAATCATTCTAGGCTAACCCATTTACTTGCATTCCATCATTTGCAATCAAAACTTGTTTGCGCAATTTCATCGCAACACGCTTAAACGGGTAGGTTTTGACATTGTTTTTCTTCCGGGTTTTTTCTATAATTTGTGAACTGGCCATTACGTTCAAAACTGATGTTACCCTGGGTTCTGCCATCGTTTTTGCGTTTCTTATCGTTTTTTTTGGGTGGGGCATCGTTTTGTCCACACATACGAGTACATGCATACATGCATACCTGCATACATGCATACATGGATCCATCCATCCATCCATACATCCATCCACCGATGCATCCATACATACATACATACATACATCCATGCAAGCATGCATGCACACAGTGACACATAGTTTTTTCATGTATGTATTTTTTATATTTATTTTAACGTACATGTGCGCACAGAATTGTGGAAATGAACGCAAGGTTCGAAATGCGCAAACTGCTGAGTGCACCAGTGTAAAAGCCTGATTAATTCCATAATTTTGTTTATGAATCTAATCAAAAAAAACGCATTTTCGATCATATTTACCGTTGCCATGTCAAGAAATTGATTGCGGAGGCTCAAAATGTGCCATTGCTACTTCATACCTGAAAAGGAAACAGCATGACTGCTGACATGTTTCCATATCTTTATGGCTAAAAACGCACAATTATGGCATAATTTTATCCCTTGTGCATTTACCAAGTGAGGTCAAGGCAACCATTTTACAAAGGACCCAGGTTTCGAGCCGTTTCGGGCGTACAGAATGTCATAGTTTCAAATTTATAAGATGGGTGGTGGTGGGGGCTAGGTTTGAGTCCCCAAGAAATACCGGTGAACAAAAAAAAAAAAACGGCGCTTTACAATGTTTGGCCAAACCTCATTATCCTCATTTCCCGGGTCCCAAACCAAATTATTTTAATATTTTTTTGTCTTCAAAAATTGCTGATTTGAAAATATGTCCAACTTGTACCTACCCCACTTCAAACACTGCAATCCTTCTTTTTCACCCCCCGAAACAATTTTTGGGGGAACAAAATGAAAAAATAAATGATCGACTCAAACGTGAGCATGCACGCGCCTTATTTTTTCCAACTCGGCAGAAACACAATGTTATGAAATGATTGGCCCCGACGTCATTTTGTAAAACAAGTAGGCCAAATCTAGTTCTTACAAAATGGTTCGCCCAACCAAAAATAAACCCTTTACGAGATGGTAATAAGCTCACGGGACACAAGTCGTTACAAAATGTTTCCTTTTTTATAAAATTGTGTTCTGAAATCTATATGGGTCCTACCATTTCAAAATGGAAATGCACAGAACGATACAATTTATGTGCACATTTGTTTCCATGTTTTTTTTTTTAAATTGTGTTTCATGAGTTGGTACCGCACATGAACATGTTCGCATTTGTTTCAATATTTCCATTAGTTAAAAAAATCTAAATGGAAATTGCGGGGGCCGGAATCTACGGCAGTTTTGCTGATGTTTTGGAGGCCGGGATCCCAAAAGTGAATTTCTGAAATAAGATTTGGTTCCAAAACAATGCAAATACACCGTAAATCACGTGGTTTGGAAGATCAGGATCCCAAAAGTGAAATGTCCAAAAATATGCATCGCAAAATTTTGGTTTTTGCCCCGCGCGTGGTTTTTTCAAAACTATCCCATTGGTTTGAAAATGTTCAACGTAACATGGTTGATTTTTGCTGCGTCTTCGGCTAAAACACCAGCCCGTGTTAATTTATGTTATTTCCAAAATTTTGTCGGTGACCGTGCATGTCGAGTTTTGTGAAGGCGGGTTTTTTCCTTTGAATCGCACATTTTCTGCGCAATATCCACCATAAAAATAAACAAATGTCTGTTTAATAGGTTGCTCTGAAATTTTTGACCAATGTGTGTTCGCATCGTTCCTTTTCACGCCGCGATATTTCAAAACCAAAGGATCATAGTTTGCGGTAAATTCGTATTGTTTTCTGCGATCCGTTTTCGTGTGTTTCAACGTTGTGTTGGTGTTGGCGCTGTCGCTGTCACTGCCATTGCCGCTGACATGGTCGTCCTCGGTTGTGGTCCTGGTTATGATCGTGGTTGTTGTGGTTTGTTGTTGTTGTTGTTGTCGTCGTCGTCGTTGTTGTGGTTGCTGTTGTTGTTTTTGTTGTTGTTGTTGTTGTAAAGGGTTGTTGTTGCATTTTTTTTGAAAAGTGTTGTTGTTGTTGTTGCTGCTGCTGTTGTTGTTGCTGTTGTTGTTGTTGCTGTTGTTGTTGTTGTTAAAGGGTTGTGGTTGTTGTTTTCTGCTGTGAAAGTGTTGCTGTTGTAAAAGAGTTGGTGTTGTAAAATTGTTGACGTGGTGTTGTTGTTGTTGTGCGAAAAATATTGGTGTAAAACAGTTTTTGTTGTAAAGGGGTTCTTGTTGTTGTTGTTGTAAAAGGATGCCGTTGTCAAAAACTCTTGGCGCAAAAAGTTGTTGTGAAGGGTCATTGTTGATGTTTTTGTTGTTGTTGTGGCTGTTATTCCTGAATGTTGTTGGGAACTGGCAACTGGCGTCTTACATGATGTTGCTAAAATGTTGTTGTTCAATGGTGTCGGTACAGGTCGTTAATAAATTATGTTGCTACCATATGTGTTGTTGTTAAACTTTGTTGTTACATGTTGTTGTGTAAGTAAACTGTTGTATAATGTTGTGTTGTAACGTGTGCCCTTGTGAAATAAGGTATATACCCTGTGATATTCTTGAAGACGTTGTGGAAATGTTCCCTGTTCTCGAATGCTATCGCATGTTATTGTATATTGCGGCCTGTTGTTGTTATTGTTGTAAATGCAAAATTTGGTTCCTTGTGTGAAGGAAGCGGACGGAGCCAATCCCCTTGCCAAATGTAAAGCGAAAAACGACGTATCTTCAATATCAAGGAGTTCACCTCCCTGATCCCACTTGTTTTGTACAAGTAGGTTCTTGTGTGGCACACCCTAAAAATCATGGCGCGTGCCCCACCTTTACCATCATTTACCAAGCAAATACCAACCTGCGCCCACTTTATTGATCTCCAACAGCAAGTTGCCACAATTACCAAAAAAAAACGCCTCCAGACTCACAATCAGAGGGGAACAACCTCTAACACAGTTCGAACCATCAGAAAAACCTGTTTATATCTGTTTATTTTTTCCAGCTTGCACTTTGGCCAAACAAATCGCAACATTTTGTTCATGGTGCCACTTTCCCTAACAACAGATCTTATTTTCTCTTTTTGTCGCCTCAGGTGGTCACACATGATGTAATGAAATCTATGATGTGACCTTGCAATTTCGTGCTTGCCAAACAAAAACCTTGCTTCCAAAATTTAAGTAATAAAATCTAAAAACATATCAACAAATGAAGACAACGCCAAGTTTTGTAGACGGGTTGGCTGGCCCTTTTGGTGTGGCGTTGTTGTTGTTGTTGTTGTTGTTGTTGTTATGGCTGTTGTTGTTGTGGTTGTTGTTGTTGTTGTTGCTGTTGGTCTTGGTGTTGTTGCTGATGTTGTTGCTGCCGTTGTCGGTGGCAGGAAAAGTGGTAAGAAAGGTTGGAGGAGAGAAACAAATGTAAAAATGTAAAAATTGGTGAAAAGGGTTCTTAAAACAAACAAGCAAATGATTTTTAAAAAAAAACATTTAAAAAAACACTAGTGTAGGTGGTTGTGGCGGTCGTGTGGCTGTGGCTGTGGGTGTGGGTGTGGGGGTCAGTGTGACTGGATGTGGGTGTGGTGTTGGTGTCGGCGGTGTTGTTGTTGGTGATGGTGATGGTGGTGATGGTGGTGATGGTGATGGTGAACGCTGCGCGGCATACTTGCGGCGTTAAAGAAAAACACAATAAATTTCATGTTTTTCATTTCCTTCTCAATGGGGGAGGAGATGTTTGGCCTTTGGGTTTTGACTTATGTCTTGGTGGCCATCCAAAGAACGGAAAAAAATGTTGCATGATGACCTTGCGAAAAAACGAACAAAATTACTTCACTTCGAATGATCCACACCATGACATTTATACATTTTCTTACTGGCAAATTTTCTGGCATTCTATCTTTCAAAATCTTCTGGCATTCTATCCGCCATATTTTCTGGCATGTGTTCTGGCATATCTTCTGGCATTCTATCTGGCAAATCTTCTGGCATTCTATCTGGCATATCTTCTGACATTCTATCTGACATTCTATCTGGCATATCTTCTGGCATTTTTTCTGGCATTCTATCTGGCATATCTTCTGACATTCTATCTGACATATCTTCTGACATTCTTTCTGGCATATCTTCTCGCATTCTGTCTGGCATATCTTCTGGCATTTTTTCTGAAATTCTTTTTGGTATTCTATCTGGCATATCTTCTGACATTCTATCTGACATTTTTTGTGACATTCTTCCCGTTGAGGTCCGGCAGGGCCCAATGCGATCTGGAACTCGCGGTTGAGGTCCGGCAGTGCCCACTGCGATCTGGAAGTCGCGGTTGGGGTCCGGCAGTGCCCACTGCGATCTGGGAGTCGCGGTTGAGGTCCGGCAGTGCCCACTGCGATCTGGAAGTCGCGGTTGGGGTCCGGCAGTGCCCACTGCAACCTGGAAGTCGCGGTTGAGGTCCGGCAGTGCCCACTGGGATCTGCAGCTCGCAGTAGGGGTCCGGCAGTGCCCACTGGGATCTGGAGCTCGCGGTGGAGGTCCGGCTGTGCCCACTGGGATCTGGACTGCGAGGAGGAGGAGGCGGAGGAGGAGGAGGAGGCGGATGCGGAGGCGGAGGAGGAGGAGGAGAACAGCTCTGATAAAATCTAACAACCCTCACCTGGCAGGTGAGGAATAAATTAGTCAGAACAAAAAAATGTCAAAGGAACATACTGTGTTTGCGCGTAGATTTAAAAATTTCCATAGCCTCTCCTATAAGAACGCGTTAGGCTAGGCCGCGGAGGGTTCGCCCCCAACGCGAGCATGGCATTGCAACTGAGGCATTGCGATAATATGTGAAACTAGCCTCGCAGGTCGGACGTTGCATGGACCTCAGCGACATTTTCCTATATTGTCCTTCCCCACCAGCCAGATGAGGGTTTCCACATTTTATATGATTTGCCGAACCCCAACCGCGAACTCTAGATCTGACTGGGCACTGCCGGACCCCAACCGCAAGCTCCTGATCTCACTAGGCACTGCAGGACCTCACCTGCGAGGCCCAAATCTCAGTAGGCACTGCCGGACCTCAACCGCGAGATCCAGATCTCAATGGGCACTGCCGGACCTCAACTGCGAGTATCGCGGTCGAGGTCCGGCAATCCCCATTTCGGGGAAAATGTCGGATTAGAAGGCCAAAAGAATGCCACAATAGGAGGTCAGAGAGAATGGGAAAAAACGACCAGAATGAATGCCAAAATGAATGGCAGATAGAAGGCCAGAATACATGCCAGGTAGAATGCTAAAATACAATGTCGGAAAATATATGCCACGTATAGTTCCAGATGAAATGCTGGAAACTATGGCAAGATTTGGTCGCGGTGGGATTTGAAGTAAAGCAATCCAACCGTTGTTCTGTTTTTTCCCCTCGCTGCTTTGCGGTGAGGCTTGGGCCCCGAAGCAGAAGTATTGACGAACACACTCGATGTTCCAAGAAAGCGTAGGCGCATGATTTGTCCGGTGTGAAATGTTTTTTGGTGTTTCAACGGTTCAACGCCTTCGTGTTTGCAACTGCCGATGCAAACGGCTGGCACTATCTGGAGCTGACAATCCGTGGCCAAAACGGCAAAAACAGGACAAATGCCTGTGCCAAGAGAATCGAAACAACGGAACGGATGTGAAAAACACGAAGGAAATGATTATCAAATGCGATGAACATATAAATGCGTCATGTGAGTGAAAGCAAAACATGATAACAAACAATATACCAACATTATGTTCATTAAAGTATCTGCACATGGGCAAATGTAAACATATTAATATTGAATAGTATTAATCTAAAAACATAAATTATATGCCAACCTCATATAACATCATGATAGCAGCAAGAGAACATCTACTGGCTGGAGTAGCAAACGTAACGCAGAAGTAAACGTAGCAATTGGATTGGATGCAATTGGTGGCGTCGGTTTTGTTGCTCATGGTGCTGGTGGTGCCGCTGGTGGTGGCACTTGTGGTGCTAGTCCATGGTGTTTGCTGGTGGCGCTGATGGTGCTAGCCGTGCTGGGTGGTCACAGCTGGTCATGAGTGGTGATGGGTGGTGCTGGGTGATATTGGGTGATGCTGGATGCTGGTTGCTGGCTGGTGGCTGCTGGGTGTTGCGTGTTGGGTGCTGGCTCGGTGCTCTGGGCTGGGTGCGCTGTGTTGGGTTGTCCATCTGTGTGCTCTTAAGTGTTGGGTCATGGTCGCTAGGTAGCTAGGAAAGTAGGCAAGGGGATAGGTTGGTAAATGGGCAGGATGGGAATGGCAGGAATGGAGGTGGCTATAAAAATGGTTCGGTGGCTAGGTGGCTAAATGAATATTGGGTTGGTGGGTTGGTGGGTTCCATACATGGTTAGGTGGGTAGGTGGGTACGTGGGTACGTGGGTGCGAGGGTCTGTGGGTACGTGGGCAGGTGGCGGGCCATGAGTATGATGGGCGCAGTGAGTGGGTGGTGAGTAGGTGGTGAATGGATGGTGAATGGGTGGTGAGTGGGTGGTGAATGTGTGGCAAATGGGTGGCGAATGGGTGTGAATGAGTGGTAGGTGGTCATGGTTTGCGAAAAATATGTTGTTATGGATTGTCATGGGTGGTCCTGGGTTGTCCTGGGTCATGGGTGAGCATGAATGGTCATAGGTGAACGTGGGTTGTTATGGTTCGTCATGGTCCATGGGTTGTCATAGTCATGGGGTAGTCACCAGGGATTCACCAGCACTGCAGGCACAGCAGATCGCGAGGCAAAATGCGAAATCACAAGCGAGCGCTTTTAACGCAATGAGTGGCTTTTTTGGTAGTCATGGATTGTTATGGGAGTTTGTAGATGTTTATGAAAGGTCACCGGTGGCAACAGGATCTTGAGTCTGATCGCAGCAGACTGGGACCCTGGAAGCACAAGGATGGATTCCCACAATGGTGGGCAGCTATGATGCAAAAATGATGCTACGAAATGACTTCATGTGACAATGCCCGGCCCAGCAATCCAAGGATGTCCAATTCATCTTCATGGGGAGTTTCCACCAGAAATTGTGTTGTTTCGCTCACGCCGATCGTTGCGCCACGGAGAACGAGCCCTGTGCAAATCCGCGAAGTGGTTTCGGACGCTTCGTCTTAAACGGACGCTGTTCGCTTGTCACACGTCAAAAAGTTTGACTTGCGTATCTTGCGTATTTCCCATATGCTCCATGTATGGTATATTTGCCCCAAAAATCACCCAGTTTTGTAGGTAAATATACCATACATGGAGCATATGGGTTTGGATTGGGGCTCCAGATGTTCATCTTACGCGCTCGTGATCGCCAAATCCAAATCTCGAAGACAATAGCAGCTGAGTGTCATATCTGCATTGGCACCCAAAGGTGGTTGCTTAAGCATCATTTTTTCACCCTGAAATGCAGTTCATTGTGGAACCTAGAACCTGGTCATATCGACAGAAAGCCATGGCTCAAATTCATTGACCAACTTTAGACGGGCTTCATACTAGAAACACAATCAGGTCTATATGGGCCTAGTAATGCTTTTGTTTTGAGCCACTCAAATCAATAATTAATTTGTCCACAGTAGGGTACCCCTAAATCTGGTCAATCATCGTTTTCCCTACTAGAGTTACTAGAGTTACCATACATTGGAGTAAATTATCCTTTTTCCATTTTCAGGTACAGTGATACAATGGATCCCTGTTCACCTTCAAACATAGGACTTTAATCTTCGGTTCCTATTCATGTTTGAATATTCCCCCAAACAATTGACATTCCCGAACTTGGATCATTGTATGAGTAATTGTTCATATTATAATGTCAAAACTGTACCAGAATTACAATAATCATACTGGTTCATTAGAGTAATTATGAGTTTGAAAAAACATCTGGTACATTACAATAGTTACACGTAAATTGGATGATTCAAAACCCGGTATCCCCCCATTTTCAGACAGCTTGCATTTTCTCCACAAGGCCCGTCTCGGTCGTATGTGGCGCTAGGTCCGCTAGGTGACACGTCTGGCTGCCAGTTGATGAAGACTCTATACCAACCATGAACAAATAACTCATGTCTGGAAATAACTTACTAAGGGGGTTTAATGGTGACAGGGAAAATACAATTTTTAGGGGGTTTAATGGGGTAACCAGCGAGAAAAGTGAATCTTCCCATGTCTTCCTTATTTCAATGGTGATTTACTTTTCTGCATCTTTTTGGGGATGACATGGGATGACCAGAATGTTGATGGACAGTAAAGAACCATAAAACGAAACCCCTTTTTCTTAGTAAAAGCACATGATGGTTTCCTTGAACACTTATCTGGGTGCGCAGCCGATATAAATTGCAATCTTGATGGAGCATGCTGATTAACCAGTGGAGTTCGTGGTATCTATTTCTGTCCGTTTTTGATGTAGGGAACATGTTCATCGGTTTAAGGATGTTTAAGGTGGTTAGTACATGGTAGTTTTATTGTGGATTCACCATGATTTACCCGCTGCAAGCATTGGGATTTAGTTGTAGCTTGAGTCAGATCAGGCCCTAGCCCTTTTTGGCATCCCAGACATCAAAAGACCGATGGAGTGCCCTGTAGTGGAAGCAACGGTACTGGATGCCCGTTGCTTCAAACATGCAGTGAATTGGCAGTCCGCCGCGGCGCGGGTTGGTCACAATATGCCACAATGGCAGGGCAAGGTAACCCACAGGGTGCACAGTCCGACAGTTTTCAACAGCTTGTGCTGGATAAAGCTGCATCCTTAGTATCCTTAGCAACAAGATTGAGAGTATATGGAATATAATGTGGGTGAAAAAATCATAAACCATCCCCAAATCACCATTTTTATAGGTGGTATATAGTATATTTACCATTCCCAGTCATGGGTAGTTTATGGCATTGTTTTACCCACATCAAATCCAGACTCTCTGACTTCGAAACGATGTGATCCTGAGATGCCGTAAACCGTTTATGAAACTGTGCATTGTTTAAAATAGGGATGTTTCAAACCTGGGACCCACGTTACAACCATTATATATATATATACATATATATATACTGCATATATATATACTGCATATATATATATATGTATATATATATATGTACATATATATATATATGTATATATATATATATATATTATAGATATAATCCATTGCTTTCTGGGCAAAGTCCGGTTGTAGGAAGATGCAGGAACCAAAATATCTAATATTACATCAAATTACATCCCAGTAGTTCTGTTCGATGCCCACTGATTACTGTTCAAACCCAACAATTTCAGGTTCTAAAATGCCCCTAAAGTGGTCAGTTATAGAAGCCAAGATGTTTATCAAACATGATCAAAATCGTGGCTTTTCGATTGGATAGATTGCTTCAGCACTTCCCCGCGTGGGACACACCCATGTCCTCATCTCAGGTCGGCAACGGAACGCACACCGCGCGACTTGGACGGAAAGACAACACTTGCCCGGATCAGGCAAAGGTGATGACCTGGGGGGGCTGGGGGACTATGGATTGAAGGAAACATCTACAGGAAATCAGACAGGAAATGCCTGTTGTATCCTCAAATACCGGGGTGTCCTGTCAAAATTTCCCATCATCCAATTCTCAGAAATATGGAAATTTGAAGAAACAACAAATATTCACCTATCCTTTATTTATTTATTTGTTTATTTATTAATATATATATATTATATATATATGTATATTCAGGATGAAGAAACATGGGCAACGGCAATAGTTAGTTAACTTCGTAATATAAACTCCGGTGAACATCTCAGGCGCTTGATTTGGCCATGGTGACCTTTTTTTAAATAGCAGTTCCAATGTAAGATCATAGAGGTGTCAATACGGAAATCAACATATTCTATAATTCCTACATTATTGTAACAAGGCTTGAATCATTGGATTGTTTCAGGAAAAACCCTGGCACCCCATGCAGGATGGTGCCCCCCAATTATATATAAGGTTGTTTATAAACCCCATTAACTATAGTTATATCTACCATAAACCATAGAATTCACGAAGATATAAGTCAACTTAGCTGGCTATGGGGCACCACCTTGTGGCTTTTTACAATGTTTTTTTTTTGTTTTTCCCATCATCCAATTGAGCGTCCCAGCATAAGCAGGCATGGCTGCACCAGATTGCTGGATCTCAGGCGAGGCGTTGACCCTTGTTGTAATTTTTTTAAGAGGGGCCGCCATGGAAAGCCATGGAAAGCCATGGAAAGCCATAGATGATCCACCTCTTTGACATGTAGATCTACCATTTTTTATTTTGAGTTACCATTGATTTACAAAATGTTTTTCCGTATGTATCCGTAGCAATGCTTCGTCCACCGGGGCTATGGGAGCCCATGGATAGTATCCTTCCTGCCATGATTACGGAATCCTTGCATTGGCCATTATAAATGGTTTGACCATGGCATGTATGTATAATATGTATGTGTATAATGTACATACATGTGTTTTTCTGGCTCAGGGGAGCATCTAAGGCTTTGGAGGCACTACAGATACTACACTCCAATAAATAAATAGACTGATTAATGAATATGTGTAAAATTCGCATACATAATTATACATAATTAACATACAGCTGGGATTTATAGATAATGTTGCTTTACAAACAATATCACAGGTATATCACAGGTTTTGACCCCACCCCTAGCATGATCTAGCAAGTACGTTTTGCACATCTATGACAGCAAAAATTGGGGACCAAAGAATCGCACCCAAGAAAAAAACGGTGGATCTCCCTTCAATTGGAAACAAAACCAGTCAGAGGTACATGTTTAAATTCGGTACACACACGCTTGATTCAGATCATGTGGGTCAAACCCACCCCACATTGATTAAAATTGATCCGAAACCATAACTTGTTTTTCACGTACAAGAATGACGGTGGATGTCCTCAAGGTCGGCTGAGGTCATTAGAGATAGAGTTGGGGCATGAACGGAAAACGCTCGTATACTGATTGGTGGTATACCTACCCCTCTGAAAAATATGAAAGTCAGTTGGGATGATTATTCCCAATATATGGAAAAATAAAAAATGTTCCAAACCACCAACCAGTATATCTTCATAGATTTGAACATACCTTTGGAGCATACACGAAGTCCCTCCAACCCCTGCAACGTTCGCGGAATCCCTATATAAACCCTCTTCAAATGGTTCCAGGGGTATGCTCCCAGCTCAAGCCAAGCTGCCACCATAACCTCTGGACTTGCCAAACAATCCACTGAGCTGTGATATCGATGCCTCAGATCACTCGCATTCGGTCAATATCGGTCAATTGGGATCACTATATGGATCAAATATATGTCCCAGGGACAGAACACTGACAAACTCGGCACAAACTCGGCCCCAACACTTGTAAACAAGACAACTCCACTCACTGGAGGCATTCAACTATATTCAACTATATTCAACTGGAAAGTCGCCAGGAAAACCATGAACTCGGGGGGCCATTGGCAACCATTGGTCCCCAATTCCCAACCGATTTTTCAGTGAGGGAACGATTCGTAACCAATCCGAAGCCGACGAAAATGTGCTCCTCATCACCATCATCAGTTTTGCCTTAAGATTGATTAAATCATTAAGCCATTGAGGTATCCCCAATTATCAATCATTATCATACAAACCCAGAATATCTTGTTGAGTATATCTCCAATATTCTCCAACGAAAAAACCGTTCTATCCCCGCTGAAGCCCGTTCTATTGCCCAATTATACCTCCATAAAATATCCATCCGTTTAGTCGTATCTCCATAGAATTTCTCCGTGTCTCCAAAAGATGGATGCCGTTGATGCTAGTTGTATCCCCTGGAAATGTGGGAAATTTCCATAGGTTTGTGAGGCTTGGGATGGTGGCTCGCACAAGGCATCAGATAAAAGCCAGATAACTACCTTCTGGCAGTCAAACATGGCACCTGGAAAATTTCAGATGTATAGATAACTTCCAGCTATAAACCTCCAGTTATAATGGAGTGTTCCATATTTTCCCATGTTTTCCTATGAATTTCCCATTGAAACGTCCATGGATCGGGGATTTCCATTGCCAGCCATGGCTACGATGACACCCGCAAGCGGCTACTCCCAGGTCCCCCCGCGGAGGCTTGTGGCGGAAAGGAAGGACGCCCTGAACAAGTGGTTTTGACACCGAGTGATGTCATGGGCTATATTATATGGTACCCTCTGGTAATGACTAACATAGCGAACTGGAAAATCACCATGTTCAATGGGTAAATCAACTATTTCTATGGCCATTTTCAATAGCTATGTTAGTTTACCAGAGGGTAGTTTCCTAAAATGGGGGTACCCCCAAATCATCCACTTAAATAGTCGATTTTTCCATTATAAAATATTATACACCATCCAGCTATTGGGGTAGCTTTATTTTAGGAAACTCCCATCTGTCAGTCATGGTATGTCTAATCTGGGTAAATATAGGTAAATGATAATAAATCTCACTAAACTTATATGTTTATATATATATATTTAATTATATACGATTATATACGTATATAATGCTAATTTTAAGGGATGAATAAGAATAATTCACTAACCTGAAATAAGGCTGTTCTTGTTCCCTGTTAGTGGGATGAGTACCCCGAAAGGCCCATCATCATGCATTCCAGGCTTCGGGAGAACAGCCCAGGGTCGTCATTAAATTTACCCACTAGAACGGGATGATATATTATGGGATGTTCAATGGATATATCATAGGATATCATAGGATATGTAATGGGAGATTTTTTATGGGATTTAGTGATTGCATTTGTGATTATATACATCATGGAAATTCATGGGATATATGACTGGACATGTTTTTTTTCGTGCCATAGGTATGGTTTGTGAAAACGGATGTGAAATTAACTTAGAAAAGCAGGTGCCATACCCGTAGGCTCCCCGCAGCATCGTTGCCCCTCAGTACAGGATGTATAACCAACTCGGGGATACTCAGGGTTTGTCTGAAAAAAATAAGGAAAAAACAAATTATACAAACCTCTTGAGAAGATCAGGTTCCCATTGTTTCGATGTCCTGGTTCAAGTGCCAAACAGTCTTGGGCAAACCCTCTCGGATGTGCCTTCACATTCATTCATCTGGTCGACTATCCGAAAAAATACCGTAGTTCATACAAATCCAGAAAGTATCCCAACAAAAATCTCCCCAAGTATGGTTGGTTGATGGTATATATCATCATATTCATCCACATCTTTGATGATCAGCAGGCACTGCAGGCACACCTGCCCTGGCCTTGTGACTGGGATCCCCCAGGCATGGCATTCCCATGATCAGCAAGCACATCAACATCCTGCAAGTCGCACCAACCATCTCATATCTGCATGGTTGACCTGGTTGACCTACCCCTCTGAAAAATCATGGTCTCATGGAGTGAGTGAGTGAACGTCACTTGGGATGATGAATTATGCCCAATATATATAATCCAGTCATGTTCCAAACCGCCAACCAGATATAGCTTTCGAAGTGGGAAACAAAATCTCAGGGGTCCGAGTCTATCTTGATTTACCATTTTTTTGAATGCACTTCTGAAGGGACGTTTTCGGGCAACTAGTCACCCCCAAGAAGATATAGAAAAACACAAGTTCCCTTAAATTGTGGTAACTTCAACCTTTTCTGCATCCTTTTCCGTTTTTTTGGGGTTACAAAAAACCTCCTATCTGATCAAAGCCAAATTAAATATAGCCTGGCCTCACCCGCAACTCGCAACATCTCGCAAGCGCACCGATGATTTCATCTTGGGACAAAATGGAGGGGCGTTCAATTTACCCTCTGGTAAACTAACATAACTATGGAAAATCACCATTTTTTATGGGTAAATCCACTATAAATGGGCCATTTTCCATAGCTATGTTAGTTTACCAGAGGGTATCTTCATCTACCTGTTTAATTTTCAGGTTCGCACCTCCACCAATCAGCCAGTGGGACTGGCTGAAACATCTGCAGTCCCATGATTAGACTTCCTGGAACCTGCATTTTCAAACCCCACATAGCGAGCTCTCTAATATTCGGGATTGTGGCTCCAAAAATTCGGGATCCCCTAGCCATTTCAATGGGGAAAATGAGGTTCTCAACATTTCTGAAGTATCAAATCTAGGGAGTTGGGGATTGGAGTACAAACCACTCGGCCTTTCGCTCCTGCGACTGCCGTTCATATCTGGTGTGCCACAAAAGCCGCCGTCCGCCACGTACTTGGCATCTCGGGCCTCAAGCACCGACTTTCAGCGGTTCCCGATGTGTCTGAGATAAGAATAGGGGATTTAATGGAATATCAATAGCGATATATATATATATATTCATAGGGCCAAGGACAATTGGATATACAGTACAATGAACCATATGAAAATATGTGAAACTTTGGGTGTGTCTGAAAATGGTGTTGAATCTCTCCTAGTTACTGCCATCTTAAGAAAGACATTCATGCATACCAGCTACTCAAGTTCCAGTCAAAGCCATTGTAAACCACCCAAACATAGTAATACGAGTGATATCATCATCCATATATTCTCCATATAGTCTCCATATTTTCTGAGATTTTGAACAAAACATCCCCAATAAAAAAACCATAAAAATCGAGGTTTCAATGCTTGTTCTGCAGCTTTTTGTGGTCGCCGAGGTCCCCCCATGCGCCAAGGGGCAAAATACGTCCCGGAGCCCCACAGCGTTGTGCTGCGGCTGCCTGGCGCAGGGTGGGGTGGGTGTGGGGAGTTGATACCGACCCATGATATTGGTAATTTTAATTTTCCGTTAATGGTGATTTATTGGATTTCAATGGTGATTTAATGGGATTTAATGGTGATTTAATGGTGATTTAATGGTATTTTAATGGGATTTAATATGATTTAATGGTGATTTAATGGTGATTCAAAGATGAACAAACACCCATGATTTCAACACCGGAAATTCCCATTGATTCAATCATGGTTTACCTCTTCAAAATGGTGATTTTCATAGCTAACTGCGAAATTACAAGAGGGGTATCATCATTGTTTTTATGTAAAGCCCATTCTTGGACTAGCTCCATGATATACATAAGTATATTATAATATATATATATATATATTATTATTATTATTATTATCATTATATATTATTATATATGTGTGTTATATGTATATATGTATATATGTTGTATATGTATTATGTGTGTATTATATATATTATATATATATATATATTATATATATTATATATATTATAATATATATATAAGTTGTAATTGTCCATAGCTGCTATAGCTATGTTATATAGATTAGCAGAAGGTACTCAACCCCAAATGATCTGACAGCCATACTTTCATTTGACATAGGGATGATACTTGGGATGATTTGATTGGGAATCCGGGATACCAAAACATCCCATAAGCATACAATAAACCACAGAACCACAGATTGGGGATGGTTTTTGCTGTTGTGGATCACCATGAATCTACATAGAAAACAGTGGAAATCCTGGCATCTGAACGATGCCAGAATTAAACCTCCAAGTCTGAAAAACTTCACCCTCAAATCTTGGCTTTAATCATCCAAATGTAAGGGTCAAGCAAACCCTTGGTGTGACCAGTCTGCAAAGCTTGCATCAGTGGTGGGTCCCACGGTGGCCCTTTGAGATTGTTGGAGTAAAACAGTCCAACACAACCATACTACCCTCTGGTAATTTAACATAGCTATTGAAAATGACCATTTATAGTGGATTTTCCCATTGAAAATGGTGATTTTCCATAGTTATGTTAGTTTACCAGAGGGTAGTCGTTACAAACATCATCAGCATCCTCGTCGTCATCCTCCTCCTCCTCATCATGAACCATCATCCTATCATCCTTGCACGAAGAAAAGTCCATCCCTGACATACCCCCCAGACGGATGGATTTGGAAGGTCTGGGATTCGATTCGTTGTCGATTTGGCATTGCCACTGAATATTTTCCATCGCAATTCCTTCGCATCAATCACCCGCGCGCTTTTTCTCCCTGGCTGGATGTCCGGAATTCTACTCCCAGTAGCCCCCAAGTCTGATATTTCCGGGCGGATGAACCGCAAAACCAACCCAGTATGAACCAGTATGAACCAGTATTCACCACTATGAACCTATGAAAAACCTATGAAAACCCTATGAAAAACCAGGGGGGCAACACCTGAGTGGAGAATTTTAAGGCACCCAACACCCAAGCCACCTGAGGCCAGTGGTTGGAATCCGGAGAGCGGATTGTTGATGATGGACCTGAAGAGGAGGTCCAATAGTAGGCACCCCGGAATCATGACCCCAAAATCGCAGTTTTTAACTTGGAATATGTTGTAATATGTCCCATATGCTCCATGTATGGTATATTTACATATATTATCATATATTTACCAACATGTGCCCAAACAAAATCACCCAGTTTTGTAGGTAAATATACCAGCACCATGGAGCATATGGGTGTTGGAATCATCATCCCAGTCTGATTGTTTGGAGGAAAATCAACAGAACCACAATACTTGAAAGTTGAAACCATCCTGAAACCACCCACGAAGCAGTTTTCTTAGTGGAACATCAATTTTTGATGTTTAAAAACATGTTCAAACCACCAACCAAATCTAATGAATATCCCCAAAGATCTTATCTTTTCAGCTAATGTCATGCCAAATATTGATGGCATTGGATGATCCAAGAGTTGATTTTTAAAGGCGGCAAGTCCTCAGTAGATAATACCAGTAATCCCATTGATCCCATCAATATACCCTCTGGTTATTTAACATAGCCATGGTATAGATGCCCCACTTATAGATGGTTTACCTATTAAAAAATTGTGATTTTCCATGGCTATGTAACAAATAACCAGATGGTAATATAGAAATAATCTTGATGACTTAAAATTAGATATGTGATCATGGGATATATCACGTGATGATGATCAAATTCATGTACAGTAGAAGATACTGTAATATAAACCATCCCCCAGTCCTCACCATTTTGTACAAACCAATCCCACATGGGTGGTTTCTGGCATTGTTTTACCAACATTAATACTGTTAAGGTATCATCCCTCGCATTCTGCTGTTTGATTGTCAATGATGAAGAAATTTGTCTTTAAAAGCAACGCCAACTCCAAATGGATCTGGGGGAGCGACATTGAACATGACAAGCAGGATTGTGACTGTGACTGTTCATGAGAAGCACATCCAACGGATATGTATGTATGTGTATATGTATATATATATATATGTAATAATTTTGTATATATATAATATATGGTATCATGGTTGATATACATATATATATATATATATATATTACAATACAAATCAATACAACATGTATATCTATAATCAACTTTAAAATGTTGTGTTGAATCCCCTACACCCTAACATGAACCCAATATCCAGGTGCTGGATGCGTTTTTTTTCACCCAGCAGCTGGGTTTCCATAGTCGTGGGGGTACCCCCATAGCTGGATGGTTTATCATGGAAAATACATCTATAAATGGATGAGAACTGGGGTTACCCCCATGACTTAGGACACCTCCACATGTGGAGGTATCTACCCTCTGGTAAACTAACATAACTATGGAAAATCACCATGTTTAATGGGAAAATCCACTAAAAATAGCAATTTTTCAATAGCTATGTTAGTCACTACCAGAGGGTAATCTTAGGGGAATGGGAATATGCGTCCCATTCCAGTGGGGTTGTGGCTCAAAAATCTGGGCAAGGGTTGACCATCATTCACAACCTTCAGAAAATGTTCATCATGTTCGGTAAATTTACGATGATTTCCCAACTAGGCGTATAATTATCATGTATTGTCATAAATCTAATGACATCTCAATTCTACAAACACGAATTGATACACAATTTATCAAGTTGATGTCCATTACTGTTAAGATCTTCATAGGTTCTGAACATTTCTGCACTATATATATATATATTCCTGTTAGTTCAGAATTCCCGTACAAACCTCCCACATGTTTAAACCAACGTTCAGAACACCACCGTCAAAGCACTCCAGGGCTTCATTGTTGCAGCCATGGAATGCCCAGCACCTCAGATTCTTTCATGGCCAGCACAGGTTGAATCATCCGACATGGTATAGATGCCCCATTTATAGATGGTTTACCTATTAAAAATGGTGATTTTCCATGGCTATGTAACAAATAACCAGATGGTAAATGTGTAGCCCAAAAAAATTCTCTGTCTGAATTACACTTAGTCGACTGAAAAAAGTGGCTCTGAAATGCCAGGTCAAATACCTGAAATGCCACTCATGGCTTTAATCACTTAATCAGATTAATCACTTAATCACCATGTTTCCTAATAGCTAAATTTAGTTTTTTGGTTGGACACAAAAAAAAATCAGACGCACCCACATGACCAAAACTCAAAAAACTGTCCAAAACTGTCGCCGAGAAACGTGTGCGTTCCGGCTTCAAACTCCACACCCTGATCTTCCAAAGACCTGACAAAGGGAGAGGGTGGACTCACCAGGGACTACCAAAATCTGAGATTTCGATGAAAAATGACCCAAAAAATCCTCCAAGCTCTGCCAAAAAACGTTCCAACATCGGCCAAATTTGGGATGATTTCCTGCGACATCGCAATTTGGGTGGGTCAAATCATTTTTCTCGAGGCTTTTGCAGCCCTGAAAAGGATGACAAGTAAGCGCTACACCACGAAGACATCCATGTTCAAAGTATTTCAAAATATGTCAATTGATGGTAAATGACATGTTAAATGACACATTTTTGGTTTCTCTGAAAATCCTGCGCCATAATTAGCCCCGAAATTCATGCCATCCAGTGCTTCATGCCATCAAGGCCGCGCCGTCGCCTCACCAGGGATTTGTAGTACGGCTTCCAGGAGGCATCCCCCTGCGGCCCGTTCTCCACACGTTGAATCTCAGCCGCGCGGAAGAAGAAGAAGTTGTTGGTTTTTTTGCGCTTTAAGTTTCTGGGGTGTTGAAACAAACATGGAGAATATCACATATCAATATCACATATCATCATATCCATATATATATGGATATCACATATAATAATATATATAATAATATATAATATCATATCATATTATCATGGAGAAATCATCATCTCATTCTTCTCTGATTTCGGATGTTGGATGTTTCTCCAACCGAGAAATTCCATGAGATTCCCGACAAACAATTCCGCCAAGAAACGCGCAGCGCTCGCACGGGATACCATGTCTCAGGTGGTGAGAGAATGTAGGCTTGCTGTTCCATGGGTAATGCCTAGCTGAGGTGGATGGATTCTGAGGACTGGGGAAAAACATGCAAAAAAAATGGCATGGTACAGGATCATATTAGATATGTATGATATCATGATAATTTGATCATATAATATGATATAAGTAGTATAATATAAATATAATATAAATATAATATAAATATAATATAATATAATATAATATAATATATAATTGTAATATAATTGGAGTATACTACAATAAATGCATGAACACACAGTATATGGATGCGTTCCGACCATTGGATCAAAAGAGTGAGAGAAAAGCCGGGTTTAGCCCGCAACAATAAAACACATATGGGGGGGTTCATGGGGTCTCCATAAATGGGGGATCCCCAAAATGGAAGCTTTGTAATGGAAAATGGTATCAAAATGGTATGTTTTGGAAGTCGAAGTACTGTACCATACTGTACCCCAATTTTTAGGAAACCCCCACATATGAAAAGTACGTAACATGCAGTCTTTAGATCAAATGGGCCCATCACAGTGAACTTGCAGTGAGAAGAAGCTGACAAATCCAAGGGTTCATGATGGTGATAAGACTGTCCATTTCCTACATTACCAGCATTCAATATACCATAATATACCCACGTTGTCACATAGTCTGTAGAAATCAAAGATGGCGACGGCAAATGACCCATTTATAGATAATCTTTGTGGTTTTGCCATTAAAACCTCCATTTAGTTCGGGTGTGTCCCATTGCCATGAACCATGCCCGATCATCACTGCATGGGGATGTACCCCCAGTCATGAGTCATGACCATGAAAGACGGGGAAAATCTGGTTGTGAACCATCAAACTTAGGGATTTTCCCCAAACTCTTTAGAAACTTTAGACCCAGCCATCTTCGGAATGATTTCGCTCTCTGATTTCGCAAACTTCAGCCTTGAGATTTCGCCATGAAAAATCGCGCCTTGAAACAAGCTGAGACCATGCGATACTCCTGCGACAACTTGGATTGGTCATTCGCACACCTTGAATTTTCACTCGGTCCAAAATCTCAGGTGTTTCTGGAGGAAAGACTTTCCACTGTTTCTCATAAGGCTTCTCGACCATCGAAAAGAAATGCTTGGGTGGTTGCATCACTTCCAAAAACTAATATCAGTCGTTTGACATCACCATACAAAGCACTGATGGATAAGGGATGATTCTTAATTAGTGTACATGTACAATCTGTAAAACTGTTTGAAGCCACCAACTACTACTGTACTTCGCCAACTCGAGTCACAATATGAAACTACCAGGTGAGAATAATATATGAAATCATACACAGATCATGTTCTCAATCTTGCTTGCACCTTGCACAAGTTGACTCAATTGACTCAATTGAGAATGGTTCACGATTAACCCAAAAAAAATGCAGACAGGTACCCTCTGGTAAACTAACATAGCTATGGAAAATCAACTATAAATGGGCCATGTTCAATAGCGAACTGTTAGTTTACCAGGTTGGGTTTTCTATCCGCTTTGCCCCAATCATGGGCCAATTCCATATGTTTCCGTTTCGCCATGGCCGGGCGCACCTCAGTCCCCGGATGAACATCGAAGAGATGTTGCCCATGGCCGTTGGTGGACCAGAGTCGCATGATCTGCTCAGGGCTGAAGCCTAGCGAAAATTCATTCGCTGGGGTCGATGGATCGGTTTAAGCGCTATTGACCTGAAAATTTCTTTGGAGTTTAAGGTGATTTAAGATGATTTATGATTATTTATGATTTAATATTATTTAAGATGATTGAACATGATTTAAGATTATTCAAGATGATTTAAGATGATTTAGGATAATTTAAGATGATTTATGGTGATTTATGATGATTTAACTGATTCCAGACAACCAAAATTGGGTTTTAACACCCAAGCTGAACTTAAATGGCTTGTTTAAGAGAGAATCTACGGTTGAAACCGTTGGGGTAGGGAACCCTATTTTGACCCACATCAGCATGTGGTCTTAGCAAAGCAAGCTGGGTTTGAAGTTTGAAGAATCCGGACAGAACCGACAGCTCCACCAAACAACATCGCTTAGGGCCTAGGGATCGATCCCGCAGTTCATGAAGTCTGGGCGAATCTCCATTCCTGTGATCTGTGAGTTTCCTTTCCACCCAAAGTCGCCAAAACCTCCAGGTGTACCGAAAAAATGCTGGCCATGGCTAGCCCCAAATCCATTGGTTGAGTTATGCGCTCTCCAACAACGCGGAACCGAGGACGCTGTCACATGTCCAGATGGAAAAAACTCAGATTTTTTCGGTGGAAATGATCACATTTGAATTCCATATTCAATGATAGATATATTATATATATATACGAATAATATGCGCATAATTATATGATATTAAAAAAATGATAAGAATGACAATAATAATAAATAATATATATATATACCAAAGATCTTTCAATGGGCTTTCCGGATTTCCCAAGTGCCTAGCCACAGCTCAGCATTGTTGCGCTCTATTGACAGCCTGCGGGGAAAAGTCTAAACCGCATTCCCGGGGCCAAACCTCCAAACTCAACCATCACTCTTCATGCTTGAAGCTCTAGGAGCAACAAAAACATTACCCTCTGGTAATGACTAACAGTTCGCTATTGAAAATGGCCATTTATAGTGAGTTTTCCCATCAAAAATGGTGATTTTCCATAGTTATGTTAAATTACCAGAGGGTACATCTCACATCATCTCACCAGCCAATACCCGGCCATCATGGATTTTTTTCCCAAAAACCGGGAAAAAACACCCAAACATTTAAGTTGATTCACTCAAATCACCCATATCCACCCAAAATCGGCCATCCCCCCATATCCAAGTGGCTGACCTCTCTTTCCAGGTGCGAATGAAGTGCATCTCCGGCCCCTCCGGACACAGCACTGAGTCAATGAGCCGCGGCAGCACGTCATGGTGCAGCAGGGACTCCTGGTGGAAAGTCACTGGGACAGGGACACTCATGTGTTACCCTCTGGTAAACTAACATAGCTATGGAAAATCACCATTTTTGATGGGAAAATCAACTATAAATGGCCATTTTCAATAGCTATGTTAGTCATTACCAGAGGGTATTCCAATGCCACAAAGCCATAAACGTCCATAAACCATCCCGCAATGATGTAACACTTCCACGGGAGGAAGCTCAATTCGTAGCTCCCCAATGCTCCCCAGATACCCCCCAAAAAAATAGCCCCATAGCTCCCCAGATGCTCCTTTGATTTCCCCGAATCACTGGATAGTTTTTCTCCAAGACTTTTTCGGAACAACGGGGATACATCAGTCGATATCGGACCATTCGATTCACACTTTAACCACTATTAACCAGATATATCACCATTCATATCACCATTGAAAATCATTATTAACCACTATTAACCAGAAATCCCCCATTTTTTCCCAGAAATCTCCCGTTTTTCACGGCCATGGATCTTGACACTCCGTCCTGATTGTGGGTGTCCCCTTGGCGACTGATCTGCCCGGAGGGTAAGCGACCACTGTCGCAGGTGAAGTAGAGGAAGGTCTTGTTCATGCCACCCGTGTTCAACATCGCCTGAACACCATTGGGTCAAGAAAACCCAATTGAAACCCCCAAGTTATAACAGTTATGTGGCTGCTGGTTTTATGATGTCTTATGAACCCCATGAGTTCTTAGAGTTTCTTGGAGTTATTGGGCTTGTTATAATGACCATATGTTGTTTATTAACTCCTTGTTGGAATTGCCATCAACCATTGCTTTTTTGTTGTGTTTAGCTTTCAAAAACCCATTCTTACAGAAGTGACTGAATTTTCGGCCTAATCTGATCCTAGTCTTGGCCGGAGAGTTGTTTATTCAATGTAAGAGAACCGGTTGATAAACGGATAGAATAAAAGGCGATCTAAGATGAACAAAAGAAGAAACTATATTATATATATATGTATATTTATTGCTATTATTATTATTATACATTATATAAATAAGAGAACTAGGTGATAAGAGAACTATCCTAGACGATGAGATGAGGTAAGAGAAGATGTTCGATTCACCCCTCACCTTCTAAGCAACAGGAAGGTGCGGCTGCCTCTCGAGCAGCTCCTGGATGTGATATATGATTGGGTATTGGTCAAAATGTTTGTACACATATCCCCACAAATAGCTGGTCACTTTTAGAACTCAACTGAATAAATCATCCATGTTCATCCATGTTCGGGGGTTAATCATTTTGACCACTACACAATTGAGTATATTACGATTACTGTAAAAATATGTACAGGTGAACCAAGAAACATGCTGATATTACGCAGATTCAACATTCAATACCAATAAACCAACATAGATATGAAACATATTGCAACATCACCAATTTATACATACCATCTGGTTATTTGTTACATAGCCATGGAAAATCACCACTTATAATAGGTAAACCATCTATTTCTATGGGCCATCTATACCATGGCTATGTTAAATAACCAGAGGGTAATATTACACAATGCTTCCATGTTTGTGCCATTTAAAAAGCCATTTTCATGGGAAAACATGACGCCGCCGGCCATGCAGGACAAAAAAAACGTCGCCTCCAAGTCATGTCGACTGATGGGATACACCTCGTCATTGGAGCCCACAGCAATCGCAACATTCGATTCCTGATCTGGTGCATCTTGGCATGGAATAAAGGTTCTGCATATAGACATATATATATATATTCTATATATATATATATTCTATATATATATTCTATATATATATTCTATATATATATATTCTATATATATATTATATATATTCTATATAGATATATATATATATATTCTATATATATATATATGTCATAAATTCATATATAATTATATATGTCATAATATGTGTATATATATTATGATATACCATAGTATATCTATGTAGCAAATGATATATTTACAGTATAATGGTGTATGCATTACCTGACATATGATATGTGATACTATGTTATGTCTTGCATTAAGGCTATAATAATATAATATGTATAAATATATATATAATATATATCATTATATATTATTAACCAAAGTTGCAAAGTGTGCTTGCACCATGTTTGTCCTCTGGTAGTCAAGCTTCGCAATGGAGAATCTTGAATGGGAACATCATCTACTGATGGGGTAATTGTCGATTGCTATGTTTGAATACCAGGGGTATATATGCTGAATCTGCAATAGAAGAGATGATATTGGAACATCCTTCAGCCGATTCATCAGGGTATCTGAGGTGCACATTGCAATGAAATTACCAAGGATAAAAATGTGTACCTATGACTGTCTGCACTTGTCTCAGACTTGTTACTTGTCTACTGCATAAGCCCCAGCCGGATAGTGGTTTCAACGATAAATATACGAAACCATCAACATTGCCAAGCAGTTGTACAGCCTGTTTGGCTGTTGCATCCTCAATTTGGGCCTGTTCAAACCTCCCATCTTTGCACCAGTTCGATTGCACCATCCCTGAGATTTGTTCAGGTCTAACGGTCTAACCAGAAAAAACTTCTTACATTCCATAACCCTTGACACTAACCCAAACCAAATCATTCGTCACCAGCACTGGAATTACCTAGATGATTTCACCTCGCATCGCGACATTTGTCGTCAGGTGCTAAACAGTAAAAGATATGGTGAAATCAGGTAATAAATCTATAATCAGGTAATAAATCTATAATCAGGTATACCAATCTATAGTCAGGTATACCAATCTATAATCAGCACCAAGATATGGTAATAAATCATCGACCTTTGGTGAAAGCTTGGGCGAAACTTGGGATGCCGTCCACATTTCCCTCCACGCCTGTGGCAATTGACGACAAGTTGGATGCCTCAAAAGCAAACTGGTTTGCTGCTCTCCATTCTCAGGCGTACTTGTTGGTTCCTGGGTTGTTTGCTCATTTACAATCTTAACTCCCCGGGCAAAGATGATAGCCTTTCTAGTCTTTTTAGTAAAAATTACTTACAGTCATAGTGTTATGGTTGATATGATATGTTCTTCCTTTTGAAGTCAAACATAAACCCATTGGGGTACTGTACCAAGCTAAGGTCTAGTACAAGCATTTTCAGTCTTACCCGCTGGTGTCCTCAAACATGGCTGGCTGGGAAATATTCTAAAAACAGTGGTGTTCATGGGAAAAATCATCCATACCCTCTGGTAATGACTAACATAGTTATTGAAAATGGTGATTTATAGTGGATTTACCCATTGAAAATGGTGATTGTCCATAGTTATGTTAGTTTACCAGAGGGTAAGTACCTTAAATGTTCATGAATGTTTCATTGCCATGTTTGATCTTCTGAGGCTATTCCTGGTATTCTGACTGCAGCACAACTTGAATCAACATAGACATCTGGCAAGGGATGACTGGTTTTTAAACATCTCCAGATGTTGCAGATTTAGCCGATAAGTTGCTTAGATGTAGTATATTTTCTAGATGTGTTGGTCAACATGTTGCCATTATATATCAACCATACCAAACTATGACTAACCGACTAACCTAGTTGGTTTACCCAGCTATCCCAATATCCCAATGTTTTGCTGCTGATGTCCCGTAAAATCTTTGGCGGCTATTGCATGTGCTTGCTTTCTAAATCTCATTCATATTCATATCCACATGTTTGTGCGTTGACCAATGTCCCCCAATCTAACATGGAATCCAAAGCGCGAGCCACCACTAAGAAAATCATCGAACTGGGACTCCTTTTTTCAGGTTCCAAGTTCCAGGTCTTTTTTTTGCGCATATCATCCCCATCTAAGAGTGGTACAGTATGCAATCGGATTCCCACTTGTTTTAAATCCTTTTTCCATGTTCCATCTTAAATCCCATATACAGGTTCCATAGTTCAATGTTAAATCTGCTGAACATCCCGAAGGTTTTTGGAAAACATGGCCCATGTTTCCCCCAGATCTCCGGGTTTCCGCTTGAGCTCCGGACGCATTGATGAGCACCGTCGGCCTTGGGCTTGGGAAAGATGACGGCTGCGATGTTCCAAAGTTAACTATTTAATCGAACAAAACCTATATATATAATATAAAAACTGGATAAATAATTAACTTTGGATAACTATTACTATGGAATCAGTTTAATGATTAATTACTATTTAACCAAGTTGTTGTCAGTTTCTGTGCAAGTTAATTACTGTACAATAATTCACCCGAAAAGTTCCATAACTTCCCCGGATAATTCCGTCATACTCCTTTCCATAACGAAGAAATGATTGAATGTCACCATTTCCGAATGAATCATGAATCATCATGAATCATCGTCATCCAAGTACAGGATAGTAACCAAGATGATAACCATAGTAATGGCTATTCATGACTATAATTAACTATAGTAATTCATAACCATAACTATAATTATGGCCATAACTATCGATAGTAACCAAGATGATAACCATAGTAATTCTCGTCATCGATAGTCATGGCTCATTCACCGGTCACCGCTGAGCTGCCGCACCCTCTCCAATAGCCACGTCGCCACAGGCCGATGATGTACACGCCACCTGGGATGCTATGAGTCATTTCATCCCCATGGGCCCCATGGGTCAACACAACACTGGGTCAACTTTCCAGAAACAGAATCTGGGATGATTTTTAGTAGCCGCTGGTAATTTCAGATGGACATTGCTATAGAAAATCAGCATTTCTTGGTGAATCAGACTAAAATCAGACATAGCTCTGAAAAATCATCACGTTTGCTGGTAAGTCATCGAACCAACCATCTACCCTCTGGTAATGACTAACATAGCGAACTCGAAAGTCCCCATGCTATTAATGGGTAAATCCACTAGTTCAATGGCCATTTTCAATAGCTATTTTAACACAACCAGAGGGTAAATCACAGCAAACTGATCCTGGAGATTACCAGGGGGGACCCCTTCTGTCCTATGTTTGACTATTCCTGGACCATTTTGGGACCAGAATCTCCCATTTCCCATCTATCCAGGAATCTATCCCCCCACTGGTCATATCAATTGGTGATTTCCATCCGTCATTGCAATCAGTATCTAAAAATTATATATGGGGGGTTCCTAAATTGGGGGGTACCCCTAAATTATACAATTTTCAATTGGATTTTCCATTATAAACCATCCATTTCGGAAACCTCAATATCTCGATCCTTCCCCGCCTTTGGAGGCACCCACAATGACATGAGGTCTGAACCTGGGGCGTCCGAACCAGGCGAATTTTCCTAGAGATGTGGTGCAAATTTTGGTGCAACATGTGGGAAAAACTGCGCAATCATGTGAAAATGATAATATGAATTTCATATGAACGTGCCATGAAAATCATGGAAACTCTGGTATGATATGAACATCAAAACAGAATTTCTAGAAACTTCGGAAACTTTCCGGTGCTGACTCGGTGACAAATGCTGGTGGTCCCGGCTCCCAGAATGGATGATGATAATCCCCAATACAGTGGATAGTATTGCAACCCTCTACAGTCATCAACCAAGAGTGGTTTTGAACACTGATCAAATGAGACGTTTGTTATTGTATAACCATGGGAAATCAGGTGGAAACTCGCCCAAACTGATAAAATAGATGAAATATGATGAAATATGATGAAATGTCATTGATGATGCAATCAAAGGCTGCACAAATGCCAAACTGGCCAATCAAAAGGGTTGTCATGTGGTCACAGCTACTTGTTGGGAGACCCAACGCGTCCATCTCCGATTTGATTTGTTCTGGCCAGGAATGAAAGTCGGGGAAACGGGAAAGAGAGGAGAAACTTGGGCATCAACGGGCCTCTCAAACTCTGGCATTTCCGATGTACTCGTTGTTTAATCATTCAGTTTACTGCCAAATCGACAGGAAACCATGGCATTTACTCCGAAATATGAGGGTCACCGGGTCTCCCGCACATGGGGTGGTCCATTCCAAAGATGACTGCGTCATTGGGGCAGGTTGGAGATTGAAAGGTATCATCCTATGGCGTTTCGTGTTTACCCTTTTCTCGGAAAAAACCAGCTGTTCAGTATAGCTGGCCTTAGCTACCCTGCATGAAATGTTGAGTTTTAGTTTTACTATGATTTCATGTTCCTCTGTTGATAGCCAGACATAAACCGGTTCAGCCAAATTAACCAGGCAATCCCCATACCGGAATCGTTCTAAAATGGGAACTAAAAACACACACAAAAAAAAAAAACACCGACATTACAAGCTGCAAAATTTACATCACCACTAACCGCCGGCTTCAAGGAATTTGGGATCTTTGCACTTTGGCCTCCAAGCCCCACTTGCTCCCGGCCTAGGTATGGCTCCACGGGAAAATTGGGGATCTCAGGGTTCGGAACGCTGAAGCACCAACCAACCTGCAGCGCAGTCGGAAGCTCAAACCCCTTGACCCACAAAAAATGGGTCCCACCCAGTTCATGTGGCCACTTGATGACATTTGAAAAAAAACTGCAGTCTTCCAGAACTTTCCGGTAGTTTTTCCTTTGAACTTAGTGATGGCACGCCACATTTGTATATTTATATATATATCATATATATATATATACAATATGATATAATATGTAAAATATATGTCTATAAATATATATATATATATATATATTAGTTAGACTGTTGCTCCCCCGTCTTTCTCATCTAACCGCTCACATTATTATACAAGCAAATTCTATGGGGTTAATACCAAAGACAGGGGAGCAACACCTTATAGAAAACAATAACATAAATCATAACAACAAAACAAAAAACTCAAACAACCTAAACAATACAATAGATTATTTAAAAAAAAAACTATACCATAAATCATAACAAAAAAACAATTTCACTTTCATAATTTTGAAATTATAAAATGAAATTTATGTTTGCTGTTTCTTCAAGTTCTCCAGATGCTTTGTTGTTTGTGTGTGTCTCTTGTAATTCTTACATTGAATTTCATAATCATCACATACAGGGCAGGTCATCCATTTTATTTTAGCATTCACTTGTTCAATGTGTTCTGCTCTATGATTTCTTCTTCTTTCATTTATTTCTTCCCTGTGTGTCCTACCATAATTTCTAGCATATTCCTTTGCCTCCTCTATATGATTGTAATAATAGTCTCTCCTCCTTTCATTATATTTTTCTTTGTTCTTTTGATGATTAGCCCTCATATATTCCCTACATTTATCACAAGTTTTGTATTTACCCTCTTCCATTTCTTTAAAACATTTAGCACACTTGACTTTAGTATCCTCCATTACCTACTATAGATAGGTAATAACTCTTTAAGTGTCTTTCCTATCCCTTTTCCCTAGATTGTAACATAATCAACAACAAAATCATAACAACAAACAACAAATGGAAAAAAAAACAACATAGACAATACAATAGATTATAAAATAGCCTATACCATAAATCATAACAACAATAACAAATTCAAAACAACCTACTACAAACAAAAACAAAGCAACAAAACAACAATAACAAAATCCTAACAACCTACTATTAATAAAACCAATGACACAAACCAGAACAAGCTCATCATATCAACCCATCTCATCAATCTCATCCGTAAAAATTATATAATATAATCATCATAATTGTATTGAATAATTTTCATCAAAGCATACACAAACATACATCATCTTACCTTATCTATTTCATAGGTGTTGTTTCTAGAAATCATAATTGCTTGAAGTAGTCCTAGAAAATAATTGCAACATAAATTTAATAGAATTATTTTATCAAATGTTTGTAACCAACATAATTTTCAAAATCATTTATTATGAAGATTATGGGATTAATTACCGCAGTCTCCCCCTACAGGGGAAGCCTCAACCCCCAGCCAATATACTATCCCACCCCCCAGCATACATACCAGCATACATACAAACTAGCATATCACAACAGCATCACATCTTTCTCAATCTCAAATCTCTTTAATTGCCGCAATTACCATGCCCGAACCGCCCTTCATGAACTTGTTGATGACCATGTCTTCCTAACCTCAGCGCGATGTAAATGGAAAACCAATCCAAACTTTTGGGGTGAAATGGAGTGAAAAGGATGGTGTGTGTCCATACTTGTTGGTGCCAGTCTTCAAGTATCTGGTAGTTGTTGCCTTTTTAGCAGGCATGCATGAATGCACTGAATGCCAAGCTTGTGACGGCTCCCTGGCATGAATGCTCTATTGAAACAATGCCTACCTACATACAAAGCTTTTCAATCACAAAAGGATCTGCTCAAAGCACTGTTTGGCAAGTCGCCCTGTTGGCAGAGCAAGCCTTCTCACGCACCTTCACCAAAATTTGCCGAGTGGTGGCGGTCCCATACAGGACACCTAAGGAGATTACCTATAACAGTCCATATAACAACACCCAGGCGGATTATTCATAACCCCTCACTGATTGCACGGACAATGATATTCAGCTCCGCGTCCAAATTTCCTCGTGAAGTTGTTCCGGCTAATGTTTTGTGAGGCAATCCCTGTGCGGTTGGTGTCTGCAGCCTCAGCGCTCAATGCAAGGATGATGAGGCAAGCGACAAAACGGATTTGCGCCATGAACATGCCGACACCCCTAAGCTGAAAAGCGTGCCCAAGTGGTTTGAGCAAAAGAGGCTGAAACACTACACAAAATTCCAAGCTCAAACTGCAAGAGCTAATTTCTGTAGCTTTCCAATTGAGAATGTCAAAGGAGCTCACATGAAACAAGGTCAAGCTCTCCAAGAACATGTGGCTTCAAACCTCTGACTGGCATATTCCCAACAGCTGAGCGCCCCGACAACAGGATGAAGAAGAGATTGATGACAAAGCCAAGGCGAGGAAGGGCAAAGGAACATGGAGCAATCCCAGCCAATGACCCAAACGTGCAAAACACGAATTCGTGGGGAAAACAAATGAAGGGCAAAACACAAAACCCCGAAATCAAAAGAGCACATCAATTCAACCATCTCATGGTTGCATCAAGTAGGCATAAGTAAGAAAAACAAATGCTTACAAGGCTGTCTAAAAGACCTTGAATCTTTAAAAGTTCGTGCCTCATCAACAATCTTGGGTAATCAGTTAATTTGTAATATGTTTGGTTCAACTTTTCTGCAATCTCTTGCACAACATAATAACCTGGTAGCCAGTGGGAAGTTCTTTCTTTCTCTGTAATTGCTTTCTTTCTCATTATCTTTACTTTGTCTCCCGCCTCTAATGTTGGGTATATTATTTCTTTCTTTGCCTTTGATGCTACATTCAGCATTGCTCTGAATTCATTTTTATCTTTCCTTGCCTCTTTTGGTGTCATACCTGTAGCGGAATGCTTCATTTTATCATTGTATGTAAGCATTATTTCTAAATTGTAATCAACCCATTGTATGTTTGCCTTATCCTTTTTTTCATCAGCCTCTACTCTTTTAAAAAGCATATTTTTGTATGTGCGTATAAATCTTTCAGCAAATGCTGGGCGTCCTCTAGTCCTATGTAAGGTTATACCTTCACCTTCCACATAATCCTTAAAGTCTTCACCTGCTATTGCTCTCTCATCATCTGTATAAATCATCTTAGGCTTCTTACCCATTTTCCCTAATGCCTCTTTAGTTGCTTCAAGGACATCTTCACCATTTTTAGTTTGAATTGGAACTACAACGGCATACTTGCTTAAAACATCAATACACACTAACCCTCCTCTGAATGGTTGTTCTTTCTCAAAATCATAATAACCCATAAAGAACAAATCAACCTGAAAAGTGTGATAATTGTGAGGGGCTGTGAAGGAATTCATCCCTCTGGGCTTTGCTTTTATCTCAACATTTTTTCTAAAGAATTGTTCAATATCCTCTTTCTTGATTGTAGGTTCTTTCTTTTTAGCATCTTCTAATGTGGTCTTTCTTGAACCATAGCCCGCTTTATCAAAATAAATATCACTAATAATCTTCTGTTTATCACTCATTATAGAATAGATGATATAATAAGTATATATTATATCATTTATTCTTGCTCTTGTTGCTTCAGCCAGTCTTGATGTTCTTTTGTCTTGTTATGTCTTGATGTTGAGCAATTCTGAACTGGTTTTCCACACCCACATATAAAATACTGTTGTCGCATATCTTTTGTCTTTTCATAATACTGTTTTTTCCTCTCCTTTATTTTCTCTGGAATGGCAAGTCTATATTCTTTCTGCTTCAATAGCGCTTCTTCCTTGTTCTCAAAGTAGTATTCCAGTTGCCTTTCATTTTTTCTTTCTCTGGTTTGTTCTTTGTATTCTTCTTTGGTTCGTCCTGCTATATGTTTATTTACACAGTCATTGCTTTGGATGTAAAACCCGTCTCTTTTTGTCAGTTCTTCTATACTATTACAGGGGAAATTTTCCACTAATTCAATTTTACAATTTTCAAAACCAAACTTGTCAAATATGTAATTTACACTTCTAAAAAACGGTTTGTCTTCATAATCCAAGTGAAAAAACTTATGTTTATGGTGTATCATTCTTTTTGTTAGTGGCTCAATAGTTGAACCATAGTAGCGCTCTTGGTATGCTACATCTGTAATCATATATATATATATTGCCCTTTTGATACTTATTATCACTCATTTGACCTCTTAATATTTTTTTTATAACATCATTTTGTTTTTAAATAGTTTTTATCTTATCGCTAAATGCGCAATTACAAGAAACGCAATATCCAACTACATTATCCTTGAAGTGGCTTTGTTCATATTAACCCTTTGACAGGTTATATTTGATGAAATTTTGCCATCTTCAAAATCTATCACCAATGGTTCATTACAATTTTCACACTGGGTATTCATAAGGTTCATCAAAAAATCTACATCCACATAATCCCCATCTTCTACATCTCTACCTGCTTTTTTGTCTTGCTCAATGTAATTTAAAACCTTTCTCTCAAAATACTGCTCTATCCTTTTAGATTTACTTTCTTGACCTTCATTATATTTGAAAAACTTGATTTTGTTAAAGTCTGTCGCCCTTGTAAGGGCGGTGAAAAACCAATTCTTACTAACATACCATTCATTCCAATCATATATCACTATATCACCATCAACACTACAGCCCTGCTTTGAATGAGCAGTGTAGCAGTAAGCATATATAAAATGCTTTCTCAATAATTTCAGCTCTATATTTTGCTTCTCACCAGTTGCCACATTTTGTAAAACAACAATATCGCCAACAATATTCACAATCCTAAATCTGAAATTGACATTAAATTTCTTCCCTTTAGTCTTCATATATTTTCGGCATATAACTTCCTCACCAATAACATATTCTTCAGTTATATTTGTCAGTTCCCTGATTTTGCTTGAAACCATTTTACAGGTGTTGTTTGTATAAGCAATGTTATTCTCATACATTTCTATTTTGTCAGTCCATTTGAAATA